ACGTCGGCCAGGGGCTGCTCGTCGCCGAAAATCTCTGCACGAGATGCGCCGCGTGACGTCAAACGAGATCCAGAGGCGATATCTCACGATTAGGCGCTTAATGTCTCTCGTTTGTTCGGCCAAGTGTGCGATTTGCGCAGCTAATTCAGCGATTTATTTGTCTGCGTTTTATCCGCATTATGGTGGATTTGTTAAATTACAATCCAATCTGGAGAAAAGGATTGAAATTCAATCCATTAGAAGAAAAGCAAATCGAAATTGGATTTAAAAATATCAATAAATTTAAAAATAGAGCTATTCTTATTTAAGAATGAGAGGATAAAAACTTTTTGTTGCAGGCGTAGCCGTTTCAATTTGATTATATACTATTGAGTAATAATTTTTATATAAAAAAAAAATTTAATTTTTTTGCGACCAATAATCAGAATAATTGAGCATGGAACTAATTTTAAAATTGCACTTTGCAGTGAAATTATTTATTGGATTGTGCGAATGACACGAAGAAATAGATTTAAAAAGTGTTAAAAATATAAAATAATTTACATTTTTTTTATTTTAACATTTATTTTTTAATATTTTTTAGCTAATAACAAATTTTAATATTTTTTTTAATTTATATATTTTAGTGTTTTTATTAAAAATTTATATTTAGTATTTCAGTAAGATTGAGTGTGATTATCTTTCATTTTTTCTAATGATTTATAAATTATTCAATTAAAACTTTAAAAATTTTGTATTAAATATACCTTAATTGTTATTGAAGTAATGAGATATAACATTCAAATTTAAAAATACATGAAATGTCTGTTTGCTCGCGTTAGTACGTTCCTTGGAGAAACTAATTAATATTAAAAGTTCGTAATGGATCCTAAATAAACCTAAATCACGAGTTTCAATAGTGCAAAATAGTTTTGCGAATCGTCCTTTGGGGAGAAAATTTCTCCTTCATTTTATTTGTGAATTAAATTCCAAACGCGCGCGCGTTCATGTGCGAGCCATCACGACGCATTCTTGGCTCTTGTAAAAATAATCACACGTCTCGGTATAAGGTAATGAGGTGTCCAGCCAGCGAGGGAAAGTGATAACAAAATGTACAAACACAACGTTTTTGTTTGCTCAAATATGACCGCATCTCTCGCCAACTATATTTTTAGCATTAGGACTTGCATGTGCACTTTTGAAATTCCTTTCAGCGTGATTCGTTGAATTGCGACGACTCGTGGGAAGAGATTTTTATTCATGAAATTAATTATTTGATGGAATTATATGCACGTGCGTCAATTCAAACGACAGCACCGAGTGAAATGCCAAAAACTTTCGTTTTATTTATTTTATTCTGGGAAATCGCACGCCTGCATTTTTTTTTTTTTTTACTCTCCACTTTTGAGATTAATGGCAATAATAATAATAAGAAAATATTTATTTTTATTATCTCTGCGATTTTTGTGACCATTGGCGCGTGAAAACGGTCAAACCGCGCATTCAACGCTTGCTGTGCGTGAACTTCTTCTTAAATCGATTTACTGCCGTGAAAACATTAATTAAAGTGAGACCGGTGATTAAATTTTCACCCAGCATGAAAGGTGTGTTATTAAAACGGCCACCAATGTCTCGTGGAAATTAAGTTTGCACACTTTGTAGCGTCACCTTCAAGCTAATTAATACTTTGCACGCAATATTACTTCAGTACATCAAATATGATCATTTCCTGAACTTAACTTCAGCTGTGAAATTTACTTTCATTAAAGTTTATTCATCCATATTATTTTAAATCAGAGGAGGGTAAAATGATAAGCTTTGACTATTCATCTGTTTTATTTAAAAAAAATTTGTTATTAATGGGAATAATAATGTCAATGCGTTTAAAATCTAAATGGAAAAACAAAACATAATATAAATGCAGCGGCATCTTAAAAATATGATCCTTCCAAACTTTATCTTACAGAGTTGTAAATTGTTAACCTTTTGAAATTGAAATTGAAAATGACAATTTATTATATTGTATTATATCTGGTATTATGTATACTGTGTGTTGTACACGAAAGTGTCTAATAAATTTCCGATGATGAAAATGACAATTTTCTTAATTTGTAGGTAATATATAAAATATAATTTACCCTATTCAAAATTTAATTAATTAACAGAACACTTTACAAAGAAGAAAAATTCAAAGTGTTAACAATTGATATAATTATGCACTAATAATTACAATTACTCATATCATAATATCTTTGTCATTGTACTTTTTGATGTAATTTGTCTCTCTTGTAATCAATGTAATTTATAATATTGAATGTATGGATGATGTATTTGGGCAGAGAATGCCCGATGGTGGCGATGGTACATTAATAAACACAATTTGCAACTAATATCATGAAAATATTACTGCCTCTCTAAACAGACACTGTCAACAGAACATCGGAAGAATAAACATATCTATATTTGCTTATTAGTACAAATATCGTCGTCAATTTAAACTTATTTTAATTTTGTCTTCTTTTAAATATATTTTATCTTTATAGAATGGGGAATATAAAATGCTTGAAAATAAAATTTATAAACTTTTAAATTAAATTAAAATAATAATAAAATAAATGCTTTATATTAGAAATATCGACAATTCACTCAACAAACTAATGCTATTTATTATAATAGTCTAAAATTTTGTAAATTCAATTTTTTTGTCGTTTATTAGAAAGCTCACCATCATTTTGCACAATTGCAATCAACTTTGATCTGCAAACAGTTTTGAAAGGGGTCCGAAATTTCATTCGCGAGACACAAAGAAAAGCAATCTCGCCAGATCAAAGCGCACACAACACACGATGCACCAACGAAGGTTGAATGGGTCCGGCGAGAGAACCGCTAATTCCGAGCAATCAAAGCTCGAATCTCTTTTCCTGCATCGCCATCCGCGCGCGGCGATTTGATTTGCGTACAAAAGCGTCTGCGGTGATGGAAAGTCGCTCTCATCGCGTGTGTGTGAATAAGTAACGAGCGGCGCACACTCGGCGCGACTTATTTGGCGCTAATCCCGGCCAAGAGGTCATTTCGCGTTTAATTTGTTGACCAGTCGGGCGCGAATTAAAAGTCGCTTTCTAACGCCTCTCTCTGCAGCAGTCATTTTAATGAGCTCTCGATGATGGCACCCGATAATACTCGCGTCCGTCTAAATCATGCGCGCGGGCACGACGCCAACTCTCGCCCTCGGGCCGCCGGGTAAAAAAAAAACGAGATTCGTTTTTTCCCTCTTTCTCGGCTACCTTTTCTCTCTCCTCGTAATTAACTTAGCAAAGAAAGAAGAGAATCATCTGCCGCTTTTTAATGCGGAAGTCGAACGAGATGGTGTCCAAAATTAGATCTAGGAACTACGAGGATCAAGTTTCAAAAGTTAAGTCATTCGTTACTTTTTTTGACTGCGCGAGAGGAAGATGAAATTTTGATACAATTGTTTTCAGCGTTTGATGAAAATAAAAATTTTAATCCAAAACTATTTCCCTAGCATTTTTTTTAAGAACAGTTCCGTCTGAATGGCAGGCAAATGTGACTCTATAGCTAAAAATAATTGAATTGTTTTGACCACATCGGTGACCGGATTTAGCCTTTTGACAAATTGCTGAGGATTTGCAGTGTCCTTGACTTAAATAATACCACTGCTTTCTTTTCAGACGAAAAAAGTCTAAAAAATAACCGTTCAGGATTTGGGATTCCCAGACGATTGTGAAGCAGACGACAGTGCAAAAAATTGGCATGTTCAACGAAAAGAATTTTTATTGTGTTTATAATTCGCTTATCATGCATAAGTATTTTTTTAAATTTCTCTGTAAAATGAAAGAAATTTTATTAAATTGTCCACTTAAGAAATTATTGGATGTAATTTTTTTCCCTGAATTTTCCAATTAATTTAGAGACTTTGATGGTATGAAATTTCTCGTTCGGCTTGCATCAGTTGAAATTATGTGACGATGTCGTCAACTTGCACAGATGATGTATGGCTTTGTCTATTGAATCACCGCTAGCTTTCACGATTGCAATTTTCGGCTTTTGACTTCTAATACAAATTATAGCTTCCGTTCAGTTGCGTGGGAATCGCGTTGAGACGATCATTATGTATTAGGACTGGAAGCGTAAGCAACAATTTTACTGTGTTCACATAAGTGATCGATCATAATAAAAAAACATTTCAAAACATAATCAATATTTTAAAGTGAAAATAATTTCTAATCTTCAAAATAATCAAAATAATTATAATTTATTCTGAAGTAAAACTGAGCAAATGTATACAAATTTGAAATTGGAATTTAAAAAATTAAATAATTAATGGCAATTTTCAACGAATTTTTAGTAGAAATTATAATATTTCTTTTGATAGAATTGACATCATGAATGCTAGTGAATGGATATTATTTTTACAATTTATTACCAGCCGAAAGTGATATTTTCTTGCATTTCTGCGGTCTCGTGACCCTGACTTTGCCGCCTGAGAGAAAGGTTGCACTTGATTTACTCATCAATTGCTCGCGTCCTGAGAAAGAGCGATCGACATATAATAAAGTTCATACCTTGCAATCCATCAAAGCGTCCGGGAAAATGAAACCGAACGCCGTAGAAAATAATTTATGTGCTGCGGCATGTGCGAATAAACCGCTTTCTATGTGCATCTTTCTTTCTCTCTCTCAATTTATTTCGTACTTTCGCAGGCGTAAAAAGGCCACTTTTCGGTTCCGAGTCGTAAGGTCACGTGCAGGCGATCAAGTATCCAATAAATTTGGCCAGCCAATTTGAACGTATTATCCCGAGAAAGTGCTGATCCCGCGGCTCTTCAGTTTTTCAAAGGGAACCGGAAAGCCGTCGGCAAAGGAAACATCCCGAAACTTTTCGAATTATGCGCCCCTAAACTCGGCAGAACGATATCCGGAGAGAAATTTACAACTTGATAACCTCGATAAAAAGTTGCAGTTTCCGAAGTGTGAATATAGAGCAGGAATCGATCGACTTACGTCTTTGAGGAGCTCCCTGAGTCTGTCGAGACGGTCGTCCTGGCCCCTGGTTGGAAGGTAGCGAGCCTCCGAAGGGCTCAGCAAAACGGCGATCACCGCCAACAGGGCGCAGGCCACCAGCATGTTACGAAGGGACGAGCACGAACCAGCCATTTAGTCTGGAAAAAATTGGTTAAATTAGACTAAAATAAATACGATAATTGAGAAAATGTGATAAATTAACTTCTAAAATAATAAAATAAAATAAAATTTTTTGAAGAGATGATCATGGAAATGAAGAATTGGGGCTTTTCCTCGTAGTAAAAATTGTTTTTATTAAAAAAAAATGGCTCTTTTGTTTTAATAAAAAAAATTACAACAAGGAAAACCCTGACTTCTTCATTACAAAATAAGTGCTTGTCTCAAAATAAAAAATAAATGATGCCAGGAAAACTGAACAAGGATAATTACGATAAAACTTTGTTTTTGTTCCCTGCAACTTATGAGCATTAATAATTTTTTTAAATTTAAAATTTCTCAGGCATAAAAAATAATTGAATTCATGTTAAATTATTTTAATTTTTTATAAACTTTTAAAAAAGTATAGAAAATTGGAACTAATTTTATAATTTAAATTCATAATACTCCAGGTTATACTAACTAAAATAAAACTATTTTATACGTAATAATTTGTGTGTATCAAAATAATTAAGACATATATTAATTTGAAATAATTAAAACAAGCCATGAAAAGTTCCTAAAGTTCAGCCGCACTAAAAGCATTTAATTAACAAATTTAATCCTCCGTCTTAGCAAAAAAATATTGCTGCTCCCGAGAGTAAAATTATATGTTAATTTTAATATTCAACAAGGAAGCACTTGTGAAAGAATTCCTAATTGTGTTTGTTATTAAATGAAAGCGGTCATTGTTTTACATGTCTATTGGATGAATTATGTAGCCAAAGAAAAATATGAATCAGGCGCCGTGTGAAAGACCGGCACGCTTGGAATATTAATGGCCTAATTTATAAGTTATAACGTTGGGAATTACTATTTTATTCAAACTCGGTTTTCATCCGTTCTTCAAACCTTAACCTCCGTGCTCGTTTGAAACAAATGTGAATTTGCATTTTATTGCAACGACGCACACTTTCTCGGCATGACGAATAATATATAATTCCTTAACTTCAATTACTCTCACACGAAAGAACTTTATTAATTTACTGGGCAGCAAAAGGAACTGTCTGTGGGAGAAAAATTAGCATTTATCTTCTGCATGCGTGTGCGTGGAAGGAAAAGTTCCGTCGCTGGGGAATTTAAAGAAAAAAAAATTGAAACTTAATAGTGGGGGTTTCAGTAAAAATTATAAATTATAAGCAACTATTTTTTATCCAAATATTAGGATTTATAATTTTAATAGCGACTTTTGGCTGAATAAGAAGAAAAAAAATTGGGTCAAAAGTAATTTAAAAATTGGTCAGCTAATAAGAAAATCTCTCAATAAATATGCTGTACTTAAATATAATTTGATAATTTTTATTAATTTTACTCATTTATTTCAAATTGGAATAATTGGCAATCAAAAATTGATGTAAAATGGTAGTTTTTTTATCATTAACTCAGCATTATATAATGGATCGGGAAGCGATGTAATAACTTTAAAACTTCTGAATAAAAGTTCAATAGATCAAGGATTGAAAAAGTTGCTTAAGATGGCCCGAAATTCATAAAAATGTCTTTTAAATAATTATAATGCTAAAAATTTAATTCTTAAACTTAAAAAATTGTCTATGATAAAGTTACATATATTCTTAACTGGCCGCAAGGAAATCAATTGTTTTTTTTCCTTTTTGATAATAATAAAAGTCGAAGCAAATTTTCGCCTCGGATTATTGGCAAGGTGACAACAAAAGTTGGCGAGCCGCCGCCTTTGATGCTACAAAAACCACTGAGAAATGATACGGGCGGCCGGGGTGCAAGAAAGACATCGCACGGGGCAGTTTGCAAGGAAGTTGCGTCAGCGGCCCGAGTGGGAAGAATCGCTCTTCCGGGCCGCGTCATCGTGCACGTCTACGGCCGCAATTTCGCAGGCTCATTTGGTCCTTGTGACCGGCGCTTCCGAGACACGGCCCGGCGAGCCCATTGTTTGCATGCCGGCAGTTCCGCTGTGTGCATGAAAAATGCGACTTCGCGCCGCCCAGGGATGCTGCAACCAGCCGACAACTGCTTTCCAACCCAGACCCGAAACAAGAGGCAATTAATTTGATTTATTCAACTGTTCCCGCGCACGCAAACAAGAGCTTGCGACATCCGAAAAAAGCACCGGTTGCATCTTGAAATGGGAACATAAGTGTAATTTCAATAATGGAAATAAATAATTAATATTAATTAAAATTGTCTTCTTTTTAAATTATCAGTGAAAAAATGTAAATTATGAAGCTATAAATTCGAATTATAATATTAAGTCTAAAATTTCCCTTCTTTGAAACGCATATAGTTCTTGACGAACAAGTAAATTGACATCTAGTAATGAAATGAGTGAACTATTTATAATTTGTTATTATCAACTTTTTTTAGATTAAATTACGCATTAAGAATTAAGTGAAAACTATAAAATTACAACAAAAAATCAAACACAAATATTATAAATATTAATATTAATCAAAATAAATAAAAATACAAAATAATTCCTAATGTTATTTAAATTTAAAAAATTAGTTGTATAATTTTATTCAGTAAAGTTTTTTTGTTATTTAGGTAAAATATATATCTATAATATCAATTCAATCGTTCAATTTTTCTTTTCTCATTTTAAATTGAAAGGTTTAATGCAATATTTCCCGCAAAATCTTAACAAATCTAAAGAAACAAACAATTATATTATTTAAATTTGATATAAGAATTTAATTGCACTTTTGTATTTGAAATTTCAACGACCTTTTTACCGCAATTAAATAGCCTTCGCAGTTAACGTTATTTATTTCAATTAAAATGGTTTTCTTTCAACGTGTTCCTCTAAAATGTGACAACAAAGATTACAAGACAACCTCGTTTGGTGCCAAAAGTTCGACGCGCCCGTGATTTTGGCGTGCGACACGCATTCACTCCTCGCCAAATCGGGTGCGGTGAACCATCTCTGGTGAAAGGGTTGCGAACCTCAAGGACGCTTCTTGCGCGAAAAGTTAATTGGAAACAACGTCCCATCCATTAATTTGAACACGGCCAAACCCGAAAAGTGCATGAATCTTAGTTACGAGAGTTGAATTTAACGAGAACGAATTGCACCGGAGATGAAAATTTCCAGCCCCTGCGCGTGAATTATTGTCCAACGAATTAAATATTAATATATCTCGGCGCCGGCGGGTTTTATGCACGCCGCGCGACGCGGCTGCACTGCAAGTTGCCTATTCGACGGGCGCTCGCTCAACCCGACCGTTATTGTATCTTGTTATAAAAGTGCAAACAATCAGGGCGTTATCGTGGAATAAAACTAGTCCTGCGGGAAAACAATTATTTTCCTCGTTTTTCCCGACCGCCGAGATTACACTTTGAAATTTATTTTACGCGGACGCCGGCCAAGTTTCTAGTCGTCTGGCAATTTTGTTGCTCCTTTTGCGTTTTGGCTCGTTGAGAGCTGCTTAAATTTGTTCTCTCGTTATAATTTAATTTATCTTCCTGGTCGCCGCGAACGCGTGGGCTTTGGAGCATCAATCATTTTCTTATATAAACGTTTTAAATAAGTTTTGAAAGAAGTTGGAATTCCTAAAACTAACATTTCTGTTGAATTATAAATCGTTGCTAAACTAATTTTGCCAGTTTTGGCGCACTAGAGCGAAGGTCACATCTCTTGCCCAAATATGCTATTTGGCAAGTAGAAGCAAACAGAATTAGCAAGAAGTGACGCTGGCCGAGAAGTTTTTCGCACTTTGCTATTCTATGAGCCGAGGCGTAAAATGAAACTGCCCACTTGCGATGCCACATGCATCAATTGGCATGTAATTAAATTTATATGACGCTCCTTGCGTAAAATTGCATTATCCACTTGGAAGGCACAGATTAGTGTCATGAATCATGAAAGAATGAGAACGCCATTTATTTGCAGAGCTAAAATGCGATAACGAGTTTTCCCTATAAAAAAGTATTTCAAAATATTTTATTATCAATATCATTGTCTATATTTTTCTAATTTAATTGCTAGATGTGCGCTGAGCTTTCTGGATTTGAAATAGATTTAACTTGAAATTGTTTGAAATTTCTTTCGACTCTACCTTGATAAAAATTTCAGAAATTTGGCAATGTGGATTTCACAATGTATGTTAAATTAAAATTATATAAAAAAAAACTGTCCCATACAAATTTTATTTATTGTATATTAGAAAAAAATTAGTTTTATATAAAAGAGGTTGTTTCTAATTGTAAGCTGATTTGCATATTTTTTTTTTTTAATAAGTTTTCAAAGTAAATTTTTTGAAGCTTTAAGAAAGTTTCCAATTAGTTCAAGTTTTTTTTTATTGTTGGTTCATCAACAACCGCGTGTTAATTCCAGCACAGAAAATCTCTTTTATTGGAAGTTTTACGGAACAGAATTTAGACAATTTTAATGTAATAATATATGATCTAAAGCTAAGATTGTCGTTTTTACAAAGGCGGATAGTAAATATTTGTTTAAGGTCCCAGTGGAAATCTTTAAGGATGCCATCGGGAGTGACCCCTGTAAATAAAGCGGCAAAACAAACAAAAAATAACTTTTTTTTCTGCTTTTTATACTTTAATTAAAAAATTTCACTACAAAATAACTCTGTGTAAAAGTGAAAAGTAAACAAAAATTCCTCCTATTATTGAAAAATTTAAGAATATCTCTAATTCTAGTTGTTAAGTGCATTCCAGTTTATGTTTTAAATCTTGAGAAGAATTTTAAACGTGGATACAGAAACTGAGCGAGAAAACCGATGCTCGGAAAACGAATTAAAATGTATAAGTTTCAACTTTTAATTGTGAATTTTAATCTGTTTTAAAAATAATTAAAATTTCCAATTAAAAGTTGAAATTTGGACATTTTAATTCGTTTTCCAAAAATTGGTTTTCTCGCTCAGTTTCTGAATCCACGTTTAAAATTCTTTTGAAGATCTCAAATTCAATTCATTCTTGATTGGATAATTTTATAATTTTGAACTGAAAAGATCTCTCAGCGATGGAAAACTTCATAAACAATCTCTATTTTAATAATCTGTATAAAATTATTTTCAAACACTTGTTTGCACAAAGAAAAACTTTTTGAAGAATCTTAAAGAAAATATTTTGTTTGATAAATTGTACTGAGTATTTGTCATGACCAACTTTAAATACATTTTATCCCAATTTCCAGTAAAAAATTAGAAATATCGAAAAGGAAGGAATTTAAAATTAATTCTATATCTTTTTTAAATATATTTGATGCTGGGCCTACCTTAATGTGAAGTGCTTTTGGGTCTTTTCGAGTGCGACGACGAGCTCGAGAGGCTGCAGAGAAGCGAGTGAGCGGTGGTTGATGTGTGTTGCGGGTTGCCTGCCTGCGGAGCAGCGGCGCGTCCTTTGTCAGGGGTAAGCGCAGAATCGACGCCCTCGCCGCCTCGTCGACCCTTTATATCGTTTTGGAAAAACGGGGGGCCGAGCGCTGTCGCCCGGGCAGGGGTGCAGCGTGGGTGGCGGGGCGGAGCAGCAGACACACGGGACAGAACTTCGCGCCGACGACGTCACGGGCCATTCACAAAGTCGGTCGGACGCCGATCGGACGCGAAGGGGACACGCATGCGCCCCCTCGCGAGCCGCCCCCAGAGTTTAGGGGTGCTTCCTAAAGAGGAATGGCGCCACGAAAGGGGTGTATGAATGGAAATACGGACGCCAAGACGATCCATTCACTGCGCAAAGATCGTCTTATTATATCTATCTCTGCAGCGTTGACCTTTTTAAGATGGTCACAGGGTTGAAAAATTATCAAACTCTGTTAAAAATCATGAAAATTTTTACACAACTGTAGCGTTGAATTCTTAATCCATAGAAATGTATGAAAAATAGGTGACGTAAAATTAATAAAATTTTGTTTCTAGAATAATAAAAGTCAAAAGTATTAAAAAAATACAAAGCTAAAAATTTGTCAGTGTGATCAAGACTTAATTAAATCATGGGGGAAAGTTTAAATTAATAATTAATAATTAGGGAAAATCAATATTGATCAATAGCTGCCTGAATTTCAGGCAATTACAAACACAATTATCTTCGATTGTATCATTAGAATGAGTTTTACTTAATTTTGTATACATTTTTATGAGCAATTATTAATTTTTTTTATTTTATACAAAAATTTTGATTATTGCTATTGGTTTCTGAAGCAAAATAATAAGATTTTTTGACAAACTTTAGGCAAAATTATAATTAAAAAAATCTATCTTTCAAATGTTAAATTGATTCAAGATAAATCCTTTAATACCACCTTGGAATGCGTTAATCTTGATATAAATTAAATGTACTTTATTATTTTAAAAACCAGGCAATTTTTGAGCAGAATTAAAATTATGGTTTATAAGTTATATTAAATTTAACAATTTTTGTATTTTATTTAATTTATTATTTTAAATATTATTTTGCCTTCTACTAATTAATAATTTTTAATCCGTCTAACCTCAAACCTAATAAAAAAAATTGTGTTTAGATATATTATTTAAAAGCTAAAAAATTTAAGTTATTCGCCTAAAAGTAATGTTGTATTTTAATTTAAATGTAACTACTTGAATCATAAGGCATGGTTTACTTACCTCATATTATGTGTCTCATTATTTCTTAGCAAGATAATTATTTTATTAATGATCAGAATAAATGTTAAATAAAATTGTCCGTCAGAATAATTCAAGAAAGAGCATATTGATTATCGCACGGATCATTCGATAGTCTTTTCATTGTTTCCAGCAATTAAGTGTCGCGTTGGATTCGACGCAGGATAAATCTCAATCGGACGCGCGTCGTGAAATGATAATTCTCTCTGGCCATTAGCCAACGACGCCTGGGCGATCAATTCTGTCCGCCGACCGCTGTTAATCCACCACCCGTCCGATTGTCGGCTCCAATAAAAATGGCCACACGCATCAATTCGTCGCGGAACAATGCTGGTGTCGATTTCATCAAGTTGATTAAAATGAACGGCGCTGCGCTGTTCTTCGTCGACTGGGGTCACATAATGAGGTGAATTTCATTAAATTAATTGAATTGGAATTTTCTAAAAATATTGAATTACTCGCCGAAGGGACATTTTTACTTCCCAGTATTCTATTGTGATTAAAATAATAAATAATAATTTTTCACGGAAAAAATTGACTTTGTCACAAAATATGGAAATGGAGGACTGAAATTTAATTTTTATTTAATGAAATATCATCTGAAGCCGTAGTCAAGTGTCGCTGCAACCCTTTCGATTTTGTTTTCATAATTCCTTTCACCATTGATCTCTTTGTTTTACGCCCTCGCAAATGGATTTTGCTGCATCACCAATGCCGCCAACCTCAACTTTGACCTTTCGAAATGATAAAAACACTTGAAGTAAGCGTGTGGAATCTCTGAGAACTCTGAAGCAAAAAATTAAGAGTCTATCAGAACTGATCTGTCTTTTAGAAAGTTGCCAAATCTCTTGTCGACTTTCTTCTTTCCACTTGTTTTTATTTAAAAAACTTTATTATGACTAAAAAAAAAATCATTTTAAATTGTTAAAAGCACTGAAATTTTCTTTCCTTCCATACACAAACCATTAAAAGCAGTTTATAAATAGAAAACTTCTTGCAATTACAAAGTAGCATCCTCATAGAAACTCGTTTTCGCTTTCCATCTTGCTGAACAAATTGCAAAGTTTTCTTTAGACAAAGTGGCGTCGCAGCGAAAATTTGATTTTATCCATCTCAGTTTGACAAACAGGCGAGCACTTTATCGACCCGCATTTTCCTTCATTTAACAAAATCATCGCAATTTTTCTCATCAGTTCTGCAAATAATTCCTTCTCATATCAAATAAAAACGATCCTGCTCGATGAGGGCGGATCCGTTTGAGCTACTTACAAAGTAAGTGCCACTTTGCAAGCTGCAGCTGCAACTCAGTTAGCAAACTTTTCCAATTTGCATGTAGCAAATTAATGCATAGATAGACTTGTTCGTGGAAGTAAAGACTGGCGATGCAGAGAAAGAACGATTGTTTTGCCTGCGCTGGAATGTTTGTTGATGTAGAAGCTCATTTCGGCTAACCAAGGGAGAAATGGCGAAAGCGTCGATTGATTTTGATCTGCGAGTGTTTGGCCACTTCCATCACCCCCGGCTACAATAAAAGAGTCAAAAGCAACAGCACCACCTAAGTAAGAGACGCTCGGACTGTTTATTCTGCTAGCCCGGCTGGAACTGAATTGATGAAGATTGAATAAATAAATAATATTATTCTTTAATTTAAAATGTATATTATTTTAAGAACATATCATCGGAAAGTATTTGAATTACGTAGAATTTTTACAATTGCTTTAATTGTTGGCAATAATGCCGAAAAAATTTCAACTACATTAATTCTTGATTTTGAATTTCATCCAATTAAATTTCAATGCAAAGTATGCAACTTGACAGACATAGATGCTTGTCAGGTTGCATAATTTCAAATTAAAAGCAAAATGATGATGTTTTGTCAGATAAATTAAGATAAAATTATAATCTATTGAATTTTTTTTTATCATCATCAACGCTTTTTGAAAACTCTGAAGGGATATTTTGTTATGATAACCACATTTTCGTATTCACAAAATACTTCACTTTTTGCATCTCATTGGCGTGGGGTAAAAACTTTTAAGTATTATTTCAACCCCGGCGGTAAAAGCTCGTCTTCGTCCGCCAACAATGAACGATGGTGGCGTCAACAATGCAGCGCGTGGGTGTGCCGCGCCTTGGCGACGCCACACGTGGTGGATCGAAGCGCACTTAAAACGCCTGCTTCTGTCCGTGAGATGCTGTGTGACGCAACTCCTGCTCGCTCGGCCCTTTATATATTTAATGCTTCTCTCGCGTCTGTTCTTCGAGCGAGCAGTCTCGTGATTTGTATCTCTGGCACTCAATTATTGCGCGGCCTGTTATGATCCGGCGCGAGCGCGCGTCCATCTATCTGCCTTCCTGCACAGTCCACTTTTCGCGACACGATTTTTTATTATACAATCCAACGCGACCGTAAAAAAGAAAGAAAAAAGAACGAAACGCCTTTGACATTCTGCGGACAGCCTTGTTTCCAGCCAAACATAAAAAAAAACGGATACATGGAGATCTTTCAGTGTATTTTAAGCAAAAGTTGGCAAACACGTTTTGTAAAAATAATTTAATGTCCAGTTTAAGAGTGAATTTAGTTGCTTTATCTTAAAATAACAAATTAAAACAAACAAAATAAAAAAATTCAACTTTTGGCAATTTAGAGCAAATTTTTAAAGGGAAGTTCCTCGAAAATCAATTTTTTAATAATATTCGCATGTGTTACGAGGCCAGAAAAAAAAGAATTTTGAAATGTTTATTAAGAGAATCCCAGAAAAAATAAAAATACAAAATTTCAGGATTCAATATTATATATTTTTGGTTTATATCATATTTAATTCAATTAATGTTAATTATTGTGCATTGAATTTTCGCATTTAATTTCATCATTGATTTTGGATGTTATTGAGCAGCAGAAAAAATAGCCAATCGACCAAAATTTGCATGTTAAATTAATTGTTCTTTCTTCAATCTGTTCACATGACGCGAGTTCTATTCTTTTTACTGCATATCTTGATCAGAGATATCGTTTCTCGCGCCCGTGTCCCTTGAAGGACAAAAAAGTAGCTCACATGGTCATTTTGAAAGCAAGGACTCTTCTCTCATAATTTACTACCCGTTTTTACAACTCTTTGAGTGTATCTGCTGTGCACGACCAGATTACACTTATTTTTCCAGTGAGCAAATGTTCGATAAATCTGTCGGCACGGCGAGTGTTTGCAGTTGGAAACAAATGCAATTAATATGTCGCGCTAATCTGTGCACTTGGTCGAATCCGACCAGAAAATCCTGAAAACGTTTCGAGTGCGTGAATTGATGGTTTGATTTTTTACTCCCCTTGAATCGGCCAGTGTGTGAGCGTAAATAGGCCATTCGGAACGAGATTACAAAGCCTTTTTTACTTTTACGACAAACCGCGCGCTTTGTCGTGAGTTTCTCTCGTTTTGCTGCCAGCCGAGCCAACGAATTCGAGGGAAATCATTTTATCAGAGCGAAAAAAAGTCATTTCTATTTCAAAGAAAGACTAAGTTGTTGTATAAACCAAAGAGCATTTCGAGATTTTTTTCCCTGCTTAAATAAATCCTTTTCAAAATAAAAATTTCAATCCGTGGTTTATGCTCTAAACTGCACTGTAAATATTACATTATGCTTTCTGGATTTACCCGTTTTCTTTTTTATTGTCTTTTTCACTCTGCTCCGACGGAGAGTTTTAGTGTCGCCAGAATTTTTTCGCAGGCTTCTTGATCGCGCGCCAGGATTCGCAAAGGCCTTTGTCGTTTCCTCCGGCCGACGATGAAAGTCGAGAAAATCCGCCGGCCTGTTCTTCTCACGTCGATTTCTTTTGCCATTCTTTCTTTTCCTCCGCGTGCACCTTTTTCTTCAATTGCTTGCCGGTTCTAGATGTGTGTGTACACACAAATATACAAATGCCTCAGCAGCTATTCTTTTTAAACGCGTGACTCACTGTCACGGCGCGAAGGCATTGCTCCTGTGCATGGCTCACAAATAACCGCAAATAACGCTCTGTAATACCTAAAAGAAATTTACGATTGTTTGCAAGAAAACTGTCACCGCCAACAATAAATAATTTGTTATATTGTAAAACTGATAGTTGCTTTTTTGGTGAATAAATTTGTGGCGCATGCATTTATGCAAGGCTTTGTATTGAAAATGTTTTAATTTAAGAGCATTTTTGAATACTATTTTAAAGTTAAACTTACAAATAGTAATAATATTATTTAAAAGTAATTAATCTTACATGAATTTTATTTACTTTTTAACCATTTTCAGTTTATTATTTTTATTTATATTAAAATAATATGATAATTTTTTAAATACGTTGATATTAAATTGATTCTGCTGTTTGAAAAAATCTAAATTTTAAAAATTGATGTAATATCAAAATAATAATAGTTTCTTACAAATGTATATATAATTGTTAACCTAATAAACATTGTATAGGAAATTTACATAAAACCTAATTGTTGTTCTTCAGTCATATTTGTAAAGGTTACACCCATTTTACTTAATTTAACATTTAATATTTTTCTCAAATAATACGGTTAATGGAGTACATTTAACAGGCAGTTTTTTTTATTTTTATAATTTATAACATGTCAAGGTCTGTTCCCCTTTATCACAAGACAAGAGAAAATAATTAAATAAAATCGCTAACCAAAATGATATGTAGCGTTCTGAATTTCAATTAAGGAAATTTCCAGCAAAGTGAAAGGATAATGTTTGTTTTTCCTTTGTAAGCATGTCTTTTACAAACACACACCTCTTCTCTCAAATAACCTGTCCCAAATAAAAACTAAAAATGTTCTTTAGTTTGTCAACATGAAATCCAACCTAAATTACATATTTTTTTTGTTTATTTTTTTAGGTAGAATTTTCTATATATTAAAATTACACCTTGTGAAAGCATTTCTGTTTCAAAATTTCAGCAAAATAAATTGTTTCAAAATGATAAAAAAAAAATTGATTCAAACTCTGCATTTTTTTATACGAAGCAAGCAGTATAATAAATTTTTCAATTTTTGTTTTTAATATAATTAAACAACCTATATTTATAATAGATTAAATGCGAATGTAATTAACTCATTGCAAAGTACGCGTATTTGATTCAAATGAGCCAGAGCTTGAGGCATTGCACCCTAGTTGTACGCAAAAGCGTTTAATACAAAAAAATCCTTTAAAAACACTTTAACCAATCGAGCCAAAGGGGTGTGTGATTTACGCGAAATGTTTTCACTTGGACGCTCACACGGCGTGGGATTAAACGGCCGTTTTAATGCTGAGCGGCCACTTTTATTTCGCAATAAATCGGCAAGTGCGAATATCATCGCGGGAATGATGAGCACGTGGCGTCGGCAGATCAAAGCGGCGGTTGGAGGAAAAAGAGCAGCGGAAAAGAAAGAGCACTTGAGAGAAAAAACTAATTGGGTAAATAAACAAAGCAGGGGGAGAGCGGCGGGCGGGCGAGAGCGAAAGCGCGGAGGGCGACAATGTAAAATTAAATGAGAAAGAAGAAAGAAAGCGAGTGGCGGCGGCCAGTGTGAAAATCGCGAAGAAGAAGCCAAGCCGGAGGACCGAGAGCGAGCGAGCGACTAAAATTAGTATAGTCGAGCGAGCGAACGGCGGCCGAGAGCAGCGGCCGAGACGAGTTCTCGTGGCGTGAATTTTGCGATGGATTGCGTGGACTGCACCTGAGGATCAGGTCGTGCGAGGCCAGCAATGTGCTGCAAGTATGTGCTGCTGCCCGATGCTGCACCCGCGAGGCTAGATGACTGTCAGCTACCAGTACGAGGTGGCATCCTCCACCAGCGGTGGATTCACCCGGCTCCTCTGTAAATGGCGCGGCAGTCTCTACAAGCTCATCTACAGGGAGCTCTTCCTCTTCCTGGTCGCCTTCGGCTGCCTCAGCATCGCCTACAGGAACTTCTTCACGCTCGAACAGAAATTGTGAGTCTGATCTTTCTCACCCCGCCTCCCTCGTTCCTTTGTTGACAGCTTCGTTCACACTCGTGTATTGTGCTGGCGACGCGCAATCTGGGTCACAGATTCCGAGTGAAAAATTATGTAATGCATTATTCGAGAGACAATCATTGAAAACTGCAGCTGCCGTCAAAGGGTGCATTTCAAGATGCACTTCCTGACAACAGAGCAAGATGAAACTGATTGATGTCGAGAGATGCTTTTGAAGCTCCTCGACTGAAATTCTTTACTCAACTCGTACGACTTTGAGATTTTTAATTTATAAAATCACTTTCTGAAATATTTAATCCTAATTTTCTTTTGATTTTTATATCCAAAATATCTTGTTGCTATTATTTTTCCAATTCTGAATGACATGAATTTTGATTAAATCTAAAACGTTTGATCAAAATTTATTTAATCAAATCCACTAAGTTAAAAATTATTTTGATGTTATTCTTTAGTTAATTGTTCTTCTAGCCTAGATAATATTTTAAATGACGATCTGTTATTTCAAATGAGATCCCTCATAGCCATTACTTAAGAAAAGAAAAGTAAAATTACAATACAAAAACTTTTTAAGTCAGGCGTTTTGACAAAGCTCTGCTAAGTACGATACCCTTTCTACTCGTATTGTTCTATACTTTGTTGTTTTTTGTCATTATTTGGGCAGAATAAACAATAATTTGACAAACTTTGTATAAACAATATTATGAGTTTGTCATTCTTTAGGCAATAAAAAGGCACCCAAGGAAACGTTGGTGAAAAATAAACAGTTAAAACTTTTAAGGAACTTTGACAAAACTCCTCCAGTTCTCTTTTCTTTTCAATATATATATTTTTTTTTTAATTAAAAACAAATTTTAAATTTGAAGAAATCTGTTTGCGCTTCACCAATTTTTGATCTCACGTAAAGCGAGAAAGAGGAATTCTGAGGCAATATCCGCGACCTTTTTATAGTTTCCCTTTTTTTTCTTTTTCGCCGTCCTTTTCAATTCATTGCTCCGTCAACGCGCCTGCTACTTTTGTGCGTTATGCCGCCCGCACGCCTCACCCGTCACGCGGGTTGCCTCTTTCAGCCGGAATTTCGCCTTTTGCCATACGCCAGAAGGAAACCCCTTTTGCACTCTCGCGGTGCACAATAACACATACATACACTTCTTTTTGTATGTCGTCGAAAAAAAATGCCTCAAAGCGGCTGACATTTTAATCAAAACAAACGCCGCGGCTTTTCATTTTCCGGGCGCCAATCCGTCTCTTTTTTTCCACCACAACCTTTTTCATCTGACGCCTCGCTGTCTGCAATATTTTCCCGTTTGACAGCTCTTTTTCCGGGCGAAAAGACGTAAGGCGAGCCGTGCCTTCCTCAACGTCCGACCGAAAGTCCAGAGGCAACCGCCCTCCAAAGAGCGGCTCGCCAAAGAGTGGCAGAGCACGTGGCCAAGCGCGGCAGGCAGCCAGAAAAATATGACGTCACCTTATCACTTGCATGTGCTTCTGTTGACACCGTAATGCGTGTTTGCACCAAGGGCTGCTCGCGCTGGAAATAATCATAATATTCCCAAGAGCCGGGCCGCGTAAATAAACACCGGCCGCGGATGAGAGTGGGCAATTCAGAAAACGTTTCAACAAATAAAGAAATAACTTTAGGCAAACTATGCGTTCCGTTCTCCACATTTCAAATCCATATATCTAAATTTAAAATAATTTATAGTAATGCACTTAAACAAAAATAAATTATTTAATAACCATAATTATTTTATTTAAATTCATCTTGTTTAAAAATATATATTGCTCACTTTGTTTTAATTTTTGTTTATTTTATTATATTATATCATTTTAAAAAGGCACAAAGTTTTATTTCAATAAAGTTAACAAATACATATTAAAGTATGTTTTGTAATATAAATTCAAGGAGACAATTATTTCAAATAAGCTACATCAGTAAAATCATTTTAAAAATATTAATAAAATATATGGTTATTTCTTGCCAGTTGGTTTATATTATCAATTTTAAAATTTAATAATAATCATCTATTGGTAATCCGCGTGGTTTCCTTTTAATTGCCTGAGGATAAATTATAACGAGACAAATGGATTCATTTTTATTAATGAGAGTCTCAAAACATTAATAAAAATAAATGTCGTAGAGCTTTTCATTAATTTTTATTAATGTTTTGAAAGTGACGTCCATTATTTATTCTTTTCATCATTTTCCTAGGGCAATGAAAAGAAACCGCGCGGATAACTTGAAATAATACGTTTATTTAAAAGTACCACCACACCACCGAGAAGGTACTTTTATTTAGTTACATAATTTAAACATTTAATTTAATTATAAACACATCCTAGAAATCAAAATTTGGCAACAAAGCAAATGCAATTTTTTCATCAAGTATAATCATAGTTTTTGCTATTTGCATTATGGATTTGGAAATTCGTTTTGGCGAATTTATAATTTGCCATGTTGTGTCTCTCTATTTCAAAAGTGTGCCTGACGAGGACAGAATTTCGGAGCAAGCTATATACTTTTGTCGCGAAATCGCGCTCTCATCACACTTGCACATGTGGCGTGTGAAATAAATGCGTTTACCTTGACCCAAATCCGCACTGTCGCCCATTCGCTCGCGCGGCGCCGCTCGTAATAATTAAACAAGTCTACCTTTGACAATAAGAAACTCGAGATTTTGATTTCTGTTTTCTTTTGAATTCTGATATCGCTTTGAGCTCTTGTAATGCAAACGAATAAGAAGTGCAATCGATAACCCTCCAGAGAGAGCGACACTTTTTGAATGTCTTTCGCTACAGCAATAAGGTCGATTTCATTCCCAGAAGGAAACTCGCTTATTTTGTTTCTGCTGAAGGCAGCAGGAAAATAAAACTTGATGGCTTTGCTGGCATGAAAAGAAACTTGCGGTGAAATGCATTGCTCGAGAAAATGCAAATCGTTATGATTGGAAAGAAAAATAATTCTATCTAACTTTCAATTTTATTTCAACTTTCCTTTTAAAACGAATAGAATTTGGTTCCAACAAAAAATTACAATTATTTTTAAGAACATTTCTAATTGCAAAAATATTATTTTAAATTTCATTAAATTAATTTTTGTTACATTTCTTTTTGTTGACAGATTATTTGAGAAAGTAGTAGTTTACTGTGACAAGTTCATCGCGCTCATTCCTTTGTCTTTCGTGCTTGGCTTTTATGTGACCTACGTCGCTGGACGATGGTGGCAACAATATATGGCCATTCCTTGGCCCGACAAGTAAGTTTTGGTTTTGCTCAGGGATAATAAAATAATGATCTACAATTTATTGATTATAATTTATAGCCAAATTAAACTAGGATTTAAAAATATTTAATTGTTTAAATAGTTTTTCTTTACTTTGAGGAATTAAATATACAAAAATTTTCTTTGTGAGACTTCAAGTTTGTAACTGAAACTTTTAATCAACATAATATTCAATTTGGCTCTTCATCCCTGATCTATAAATTGATTAATATTAAAACTGAAATCCCAAAGCAATGAGAATTTTCTTATCCAAAAGACTGGCTGAATGAAACTTAAAGTCCCTCTTGTGCGTTCAATTATTCAGCTCGGTCCAGCCTGAGAACAAACTTGGCGAGTTACTTGGCAAACTTTTCCGTTCAGCCGAGAGCAAACTCAAGCGTGGCCTTTAAACTCGCTGCAAAAATTTCTTTGGTAAACTGAGAAAACCGTTTCGCAGGATAATGCACTGCGTGGCGCTGTACGTAACGGGCGACGACGAGTACGGCCGAATGCTGCGCCGCTCCCTGATGCGCTACCTCAACCTGTCGCTCATCCTGGTGCTCAGGTCCATCAGCTCGGCCGTCAAACGCCGCTTCCCCACGCTGGACCATGTCGTCGAGTCCGGTAGATATCAATTTTGCAAATTTTGGACTGATTATCAAATTTTGAAAATTGATGCTCACAATATAGTATATTTTCCAAAAAATGCAATTTTTTTTCAAGTTACAAAATTGGTTTGATTTCAATTATTTTTAAATATTTGTATATTTTATTATTTAGATTTCGACGGATGAAACTGAAACTTAAATTGTGGTTTTCAGAGTTTCTGATTTGTATTTTGTAGATTTTCTAGCTATAAAGGTATAGATAAGTCCAAATTCTGGATTCGATTTTTATTGCTATTGATGACATTCTTTTCAAGATTACATAATTTATATATAAGAAAAGATATATCTTTGGAATAATTGAAAAAAAAGCAGAAGAAAAGTATTGTGGAGTTGCCTATAGACAATCACTATTCATTTGTTGAATGTAATTATTTTGAGCTTTATATTTATATAAAATTCACAACACAGTTAACAATTTTTTTTAAACTTTACTGGAATAATTAATTAAACTTTACTTAGTATAAGTCTAATAATTTATGAAAATAATATAATTAATTTTATATTTTGTAAATTTAATAAATCAGTAATTTATTCTTTTCATAAAATAAAAATTGTATGAATGTAAAATTTATATAAAATTACCTACATATTTTAACAGGCTTATCAATTAACAGATTAACCCAATTTTAAGTAAAGAAAATTTATTTTTTTAGACTTACAATTAGTTGGGCACAAGGTATTTTTAAAACATACATTAGTGTTAAATTTGAACTGAAATTCTTAATTTTCTACGGTCAATCTATTTATTTTTACCAATTATTTTTAAATGGGTCAAAAAAATTAATAAATTCAATTAATTCAAGTTTAAAGTCAGTTAAATTTTCTCTTTTAACTTTCAAAATTACTCTTTCCTTATTTTCATCATTGTAGGTTTTATGACCAGAATAGAGTTAGAAATGTTTGTGGCCGTTCCAAACGAAGAATTCAACACATACTGGATACCCAGCACGTGGTTCATCTCGCTGCTGAAGCAGGCCAAGCGCTCCAACAGAATCATGGACTCTCAGGGACTGAAGATCATCATGGAGGTGAGTCGAGCTCAAAAAGAATCCCGACCGGATTGGATTTCATGAAACGCGTAAAAATTTGCACAAAAGAAACTTTTGTGTGCGCGACCCAGCGAAAAAAACACATAAAACTCTGGCGTGACGCTCGAGCTGCTGGTCTTTTAACGCAGACAAGTCGGTGTTATTTATGGAGTGCAAAAGCCTCATCAAAAGCCATTCGTATGGGCCGCAGTGGAAACACTTAGCACGAGGAAATTGTAACGCGAGCTTTGTCGCTGGGAAATTGGAGTCCCGACGCGAATTTTAAGTACTTTAAAGCTGGGTGTTAATTTTCGAGTTTCATCACGACCCGTTTTGACTCACCAAATGAAAATGGATTTCAGGAATTCAACGAGTTCCGCTCAAAGTGTGGGATGCTGTGGAGCTACGACTGGGTCAGCATACCTCTAGTTTATACTCAGGTGAGCACTTTCAACCTAAATTACGGACGGGGCAATTAGCAAGGGATGTCTCTTAATTAACAGATTAGGATTAAAATTCAGGTGCACGAGTTACATTTATTGCCCATAATTTTAGGAAGAATGGGATTAAATTCTTTACTGTGCCAGACCGTTTAGGAAAATACATCAATTTTTAATCTTATAGAGATTATTGAAAAAAATTAATAATTATTAATTATGCTTTGAATTTGAATTTGAAAGATTTTAATGATAATTTTTCTTTTTGTAGAAAAAATTGATTGAATTGAAGGACTCTTTAGTATAAATTAAATTTTAACTTCTGAAAATTAAAAAAAAAAAAATTGAAATCTCAAAATTTACTTTTGCATGCTTAACTTGAAATTTTACTGATCAAAAATCCTGATCAATTTACAGAGAAAATCTAAAAATAATGCATTTTAACTGGCAATGAGAGAGATAAAAACAAATTAAACTTTCAAACGAATTTTAACGTGGATTCAGAAACTGAGCGAGAAAACCAATGCTCGGAAAACAAATTAAATTGAATCCACGTTAAAATTCTTTTGAAAATTTAATACAGAAACTGAAATACACTTAACAACGCAAACACGACACAACTCAACACTAAAAATTTAAAAAAAAAACACACTCACACTAACAAATTAACAAAATTAAACTTTGTTTATCGTAAATCATAAATTCTGCACCTCTTAATAAATTACTTTTTTTTCTTAATTTTTGACAAATCTGATTTCAAATTTTGAAGCTTCCTTCAGCATTTGCTTGCAAGTTTATGTAAGCTCAACAAATTATAACGATCGTTGAACCTAAATTATAAAGGCCGCTTCTAAAAAACTGTCAAGAAATGATTTACTACAGCTGGTGCTGGCCAGCGGCAACACTACTTGCTTGCGCGGCCGTTGCACCTGAGGGTTTTCATTATTTCTGTTTCTCTCTCGGCACTCGGCTCTCGAAATAGCAGCCGAACGAAAATCCGAAAGCGATTACATCGTTTGTCCATTCCGACAGGTGGTGACCATCGCGACGTACTCGTTCTTCCTGGCCGCGCTGGTGGGCCGACAGTACGTGGCCGGCGCCAACAAACCCTTCCAAATGGAGATCGACACTTACATTCCCGTCTTCACCATCCTGCAGTTCTTCTTCTTCATGGGACTGCTCAAGGTAAGAGAGAGACACGGACGCGTTTTGTTGTCGCGACGAGTACAGGCGAAGCGAGCTCCCGGTTTGCGAGTCAGCTCTCGCGGATCGAGCTATTTCAGGAGTCAGGGGCGGCCGCCGGCCTGCCGGCCGGCCGGACCAACAACATGGGCCGTCCGAGGCTCACAACAACACTCTGATCTCGTGGACGCGAGAGTCGGAGAAAGAAGAAAACGCCTGGGCCACTCTCGGCGCGCGGTGTCACATCGCGCCGAGCCGAGTCATTCAAGCGCGCTCCTGACCCACCGCGAGAGACATTTCGGCCTCTCTATTTCTCCTTTGTTTTGCAACGAATGTCCCGCGATTAATTGGCCCCGACGAGCTTTCAATTAAAATAACTCCCGATTTAACGAGCGCGCCATACGCCCGCGTTTGATTCGTCATGGATCCAGTGATTTATCGGAATGGCCCCGTTTTCAACTTCTAGTGACATTTTTACTGCATTTTACTACCGAAGGTTCGACTGAAGTCATTTTTACCAATTTGTCAAAGAGGAGTATTTTTATTAAATCCACTTTCAAGCACATAAAATGTATTAAAATGAGTAAAAAGTTAGTTATGACTAAAAAAATTATATTTAAAAAGATTGATAAATTTAAATTAAATATCACTTTAAAATAATATTTTGAGGTAAACTGATTTTAATTAATTTTTATAATTTTTGTATTAATTTTAAATTTTAACTATGTGCAATATTCTGTATTTGTAAACTGTCGCTTGCCACTGGCGTTTAATGAACTTAAAAATAAATGTAAATTAATAAACAGAATAAATTATCTGGATATGTTTCAATAATTATTGAGAGAAGCTCACTTCATTCAATAAAGCTTATAGGGCTCTTTTTTAAATTTATTGTAAAGCTTGAATAAATATAAATAATTACAATTTACTGTCTTCATAAACTCGTCTTTTTCCATTTATATTCAGGCCAAATTAGATTGCAGACTTTATTCAAAATCTGATCATTTGCAATATCACCTTAAATGGGTAGTGCCGTTGGCGCGCGTTTCTTGTCCCTTTTGCTCGCGTGTCCTGCGCGGACGATGGACGACGGAGACAGAAGAAAGCGATGATTCCCGTCTACGCTAAAAGAACTGCGAGCTCCGAGTGAGCTGGCAACCTACATTCTCTCGCGCTGTTATTTTGACGTGCCGGTGCCAAGTCTAATGTCTTGTCACGATACTCGCCAGACGTGCGTGTCTGTATGTGCAGCGCAATCATGCTACTCACCTTGCTGATTAATTTCAATAAACGCAAACAACATTGCCAATTTTTTTTTGCATCTAAAAAAATATGGTGAACGCTGGAACTGAAATAAGAGAGTGTAATTTATATATCGCGGCGGCAGTTTGCTCGCTCCATTTATCAAACGAGCGCACAGGCGTCGCGGCGTGAAAATAGCCGAGGAGTTTTTCTACTGTTTTCATCACTTACTCTCGATCGACGAGAGATGATCTTTTTATTTTTCATTGTGCCTGTCTCTTTGGTGGGTCAAGGTGAATTTATTATGACGGCAAGTCTGAAAAATGAATTCTTTCTCGCGAAGTTGAGTTATTGAGTGTTCACTGTAACGGATGTAAATTCATCACGGTCACGAAAGAGCTCACTGCGCTAATATGGAACAAATCATCAGTCTTCTTCAATATAAATTATTTGTAAAAAAATTTCCCTTTTGCTCAAGAAAAATTAAAAATTTAAAATCTGTTGGAAATCTAAGAGTTTTGAAACTGGATAAAAGTGAAATTGTTTGGTGGTGAATATTTTTTATTCAAATAAATATGGACAAAGATCTTCAACCCAATTTTGTGGTACATAATAAGACACTTTTCATTTTCACATTATTAAAAGTTATGAATTGGAGAAATTTCTGAATAAATTAATCTTCATATAAATTAATAAAAAATAAATTTTATTTTAATATCATTAAAAATAGGTGTAAAAATAGATTAAAATAGTTTTAACTTCATAATTTTTCTTTTTAAATATATATATTTGCACTAAGTTTTTGAAAGCTGAGCTCAAAACCTTAATTAAAAAAAAAAAATGCAGCACTTTTGCCCAGCCCTGTGAAAATACTGATCTTTGGCGATGTTGGATTGCAGGTGGCGGAGCAACTAATAAATCCATTCGGTGACGACGACGAGGACTTTGAGCTGAACTGGCTCATCGACAGACACACCAAGGTAAACAAACTCACTGGAGCCCTCATAACGTGCTAAAGTGGCCTCTGCCCCGACAAGGTGTCGTACCTCGGCGTGGACATCCTGATGTCTCGGTCGCCGCCGCTCGTAAAAGACATGTACTTCGACGACGTCGATATGATGCTGCCCTACACGGAGGCCGCGCAAGCCTACAAGAAGAAAACCTACCGCGGATCTGTACACGACATGATGTGAGTTTCTGTTGACACGTCGAGTGATACTGCCCGGTCGCTGCTCTTTAGCCCTAATATAATATGACACCAGACGCCTGCTGCTTTTTTTATGCAAAAAGCAGGAAACAAGAATTTCCAAGATACATATTTTTTTTCTTTATTCAGCGCGAGAGCAGAACGCTGTCGCCGTTAATGAAGCTTGAAAAAAGTCGCAGCTGAAAAATTTACGGAGCTTTCGTCCTATTTTCGGGTCGCCGAGAGAGTAATGAATGCTTCAGCGCGAGAAATCGCTTTCTTGTGTAGCATCCCCAGCCTGTGTATGCAACCGGCTGCACGAGCCGGTCGCGCCAGTTGCATAATCACGAAAATGCTGGCGGGCGTTTTAATTATTTCTTGGCATGCATCTGTGTGTCGCAGGGTACCAGAGGGCAAGCAGGGCATGTATCTGCCCGAGATCGTGGAGGAGGGTCAGTTTGCCATTTCGAGAAGCGCCACCCCGAGGACCTCCATGATGAACCTCTTTCCAGGCATGTGACTCGCGCTCTCTATGAAAATAAACACTTTTGATCGTGAATTGGCAATTTGCTCAACAGGCCAGTCGTTGTCGCCCTATGAGGAGACTGGCTCTTTTGGCAGGAGGAACGAACGGACGTCGCCTTCGCCGCAGCCGAGACTGAACGCGGCGTACTCCAGCAATGGAAATGTAGCCACCCCGGAAATCGCTTCCGCAGGTACCAGGCGGTAAGACCGACACCCTTTCCCCTCCTTAAGAGAACTTTCTAATCAGTCAACATAATAACATAATAAAAAAGATAAATTTTAAAGAAAATGACATAAAAAGGGCTAAAAAAATATACTTTTACTATATTTAAAAATTTAATTTAATAAATTTAAGGTGACTATTAAAAATTTTATATTTATTTTAAAAGAGTTATTACAAATTAAAATTTTCAAATTATATTGAATTGGCTAAAATAAATTTAAAGAACACCTTCTTCACCATTTTCCATCCTCCCCAGATAATCCTTAAAAATATTTAATTCCCAAAGAAAACCTCACCGATTTTTTTCTACTTTTTTCAGGTTACAAGCCGGAGGGCAAACAAGCTGTAATGAGCTGGGAGCTGATCTGTTCGCAATGCTGTCCGAGGTGGACAGACAACAACGATTAGGAGGTCGTCAAATGCGACGGGACTCCGGCGTGCCTTCCTATCCCCCGTCCAGCCTCTTAGGCGAGTCCTTAAGTCGCCGCTCAAGTTCTGTCATGTCCGAAGAACCGGACACAATATCCGTGTGCAGCGCGACGGCGCCGGTGCCACCTGCGCGGTCGCGACTTCGGTACCTGCTCAAGAGGAAACACTCGAATTCGACCAAGAAAAATGTCCGGTGGCGGGCCGTGCAGCAGACGGACGTGCCGCCGCCCTCGCCGGACATGAGTGTGAATGCACTCGTTGAGCACTCGACTGCCTTCATGCTTCGCCAGATGATCGGCCCAGTGACCGGCGGCGCCGAAATTGAGAAAGGTGCGGTCGGCGCCGTGGCGCTGACCAGGAGTATGCCCAACATTCAGGCCACCGACGTGGAGGTGGACAGTGAGTGGCCGCAGGCGTCGCCGCCGAGGAAACGGACGGAGAGCGTCCACGTGCCCAAGGAGGTGATCAAGGAAGTTCTGGCCAACGCTTTGCTCAAACCGCCCGAAGACCATTTCGTCGGCAACACGCACCAGCACGAGGAGACAAAGTGATGCTGCTGCTGCGACTCTCGGACACTCACGCGGTGCCTTTTCATTAAAAGCAGGAGGATCTTGTGTAGAAATTTGAATGGCCTAAAATCGTACATCCAGGCTGGATTAAATCAAAATTCTTCAGGAGAACTTTTATTATTTTTCATGAAAAAATTGCTTTTTAAAATTACAAACAATCTCTGTAGTTAAAATCGATTTCTTTTATATTTTCAAGTGGACTTGCTGGTTCAAGTGTTAATTAAATAAATTTACTAAATTGATTTTAGTGTTAAGCGACCTGCTCTCTGTTCTCACACAATTTATCCTTTTATTCTTTTATATTTTATTTCAATATTAATTCGCTCCTTATAGAGGTGCTCCTTAAATAACAACTGCAGCTATTAAATTATCAAATTCCTGCACAGTTCTCTGCTTAAAAATATTCTACCGTAAGTGCTCTTTTCAAAAAAGTGATCCTCTGTGTTTCTGTTATTTGTAGGTCAACGGTGGCCTTTTGCCGCGGACGACATTGTGCTCCGCGCGCTGTGATCAAGTTGAAAGTAATTTATCGTTATAAACTGAAACAAAAAATATTAATCGTTTTTTTAAAAGACTTCTTGTGCAAAATAATAATATTTTAACACTCACTTTGGAGAAACTACTGCGTCCTCTGCTAATCCTGTTATATATCTTGACTTTGAAAAAGACGACGATCCTTTTTTATTATAAACGTAATTCCAATTTTTTAATGTGTCCGTATCTCTCGTTTCACTAGAACCTGTATTTTGCTCTGTTACACACAACCAACATACCTGGTTAATTGCGCCCTCTACGGAATTATCTCGTGTAATATGCAATGTTTTTATCTATCACTGCTATTCGTAAAATGTACAACACGTTCGATTTTGTGTGATTATTCTCATAAAAACATTTTTCACATATTAAAAAAATTTAAAAAGAATACCAATGAAAATAGTTGTCTAGTCTTTTAATGTATCAAACCTAAAATGAAACTGCAAATTTATAATAAATTAGATTCTAGACAGTGGAGAAAATCACGAAAACACTAAACACTTCAGAAAATATTATTATATTGGATTACGACAACCCGGTGAGCACGTGCCAAAATTTGAATTTAGCGCCAAATCAAATTCGAGAGAACCAATCAGAGCGCGGCTCACTTTGGCGCGCATCACATGTCGGCCAAAACACGACATGAAATTCTTTCGAGTTTGACGTTTCCTGCCAAAATATTCAGCGATTGCATGTGTCGGCAGAAAATATCGGCCGTAAAATGAACGGTCCAGGTGTGAGTTTGTTCCAAGGTGCAGAACTCCAGTTGAATCAGACCAACCCTGACGAGGAAGAAGCTGAGAATGCCGCGGAGGAACAACGCAAGAATGCCGAGGTACTGCAATTAAATTTTTTTCCTTCGACTCGGAACCGCAGTCACTGAATGTAATTTAAAACCCGCAGTTGAGGAACCTTCTGAACGGTGCTTTTGATGACCTGGACATTCATCATGACGCTGACCTTAGCTTTGCCAGCAGCAAAAATCTCAACAACTTTTCATTGCCTGGTACGTTTTTGGAAAAATTTCATAGAAACTCTACCTTGAGGTATCAAATTTCACTCGGGTCTTTTTTATGGTTTCTCTAGAATAGTCAACTCAACCAAAAGTTTACATAATTATTCATGTTTTTAGGTGGTCCTGCGTCTTCGGACGATGAGCTTCACACTCCGACCGGCCCAAAACGGCTGACCAATGGTCACTTAAACGGCCACCTGACCAACGGGAATGGTGATGGCACCGAGAGCCAGCTCTCGGGCCATTATAATCACTGCTACCACAACAAGGGTGCGTACGCCGACTCATCAGTGAACTCGACCCCAGTGAAGCCAAAAGTAACTGCTGGAGGCGATGCCGAGCACTTGGCCACTTTGTACGAAGTGCGCATGAGGGAAATCGTCCGTCTTCAGGATGTGCTTGAAGCCCACAAGAGGGACGCCTCTAATCAGGTCGAGCGCCTCAACCAAAAGATTTTGCTACTGGAGGCTGAACGAGTGGCCACAAAGAGCACCCTGACGCAGTCCCAGGCTCTTTTGGGTTAGATTTTTTGTATTTTATTTGACACTTTATGTTTATTATTTTATTAAAGTGTCTGCCAAGGAGCAAGTTCAGGAATTGCTCAAGCAAGTGGAGTACCTCAAAAAGCAAAATAAGGAACTGGAGGATCTGAAAGATGAGGTATTGTCATTTTATTTTTTAATATTAATTACAAAATAATTATTAAATTTGAAATTTAGCTGGAACAAGATGGGCTCATAATGAGAGCAAATATTGAGAGCCTCAACTCAAAGATGGTGGCAATGGAGAAAATCTCAAATGAAGCATCGGGTGTTCGTCAGGCTGATCTTATTGTAAAATCTCTGGAGGAAAGACACCGCAAGGAAATAATTTCCTACCAAGTGCAAATTGAAGAGCTGAAGGACAAGCTAAATAATTCAGTAATACCTCTCCTTTGCTTTTTTCCCGTATTTATAATATTAAATTGTATTTGCAGACAGACAGTATAAGAAACCACGAGAGAAGGATCATGGAGTTATCAAGGCAGCAAGAAATGATGATGCTTGAAAAAGCTGATTCGATCAATAGCCTTGCCAGAGCCTTGGCAGAAAGTCAGCAGCACTGCCAAGAATTGATGGCTGCCGATAACACCAACGCTTCGGTTGAAATCAAACGACTGAGAGATAAAATCAAGCAGCAGGAGGTTTGATTTAGAAAAATTATTTGAACATCAAAAAGTTACTGTCTTTTTCAATAGGGCCTGATAGAAAAGTACAAAATAGACGTTGATCAACTTGAGATGTTGGTCGGCCTCAGCGTTTTGACCTCGGACTCGTCCTCCTTACCACTGGAAGGCCGTGCTGGATTCTACAAAACTGGACTTGATTCTGTTGAGAGCTTAAGAGAGGAGCTTGCTAAATCTCTTCGATATCATGAGGCACGAAGGGCAGAAATAAAGCAGCTGCAGTATGTTATTCAGGAAAAAGAGGCTGCTGCTCAAGGCTGGCAGAAACAGGAGGAAAAGTACAAGACGGAGATGCTTAACTTAAAGGTCAGTCTCTAATCATAATTAGGGAATTTCATTTTAAATTTTCAGCTTTTTTGTTTGATGAAGTTGACACTCGAGATGATCATGGAAATGAAGAGATTGGGCTTTTACTTGTTGCGAAAATTGTTTTTAATTAAAAACAAACGGCTCTATCTGTTTTGGTCACGGTCTTTTTTTTTCAAATTTTGCTGATTTTTTCAATTTAAGTATTCATGAAATAGGGTTGCAGACCGTGGAACTGGTAGATATTTTTTCCTGCATTGAGGAAAAGCCCGTTTCTTTCATTTCCATTTCAGATTTTTGTATGTTTTTATTAAAATTTATTTTACAATGTTTCACAGGCTGAATGCGACAAGCTTGCCAATGAGTTGGAAAAGGCCAAAAGTGGAGACCAAGGAAAAGAATCTCAAATAAGGTACTGTGGATAATTTTATTTTTTCGATAATAGGTTCACAATTTATTATCATTTATTTATTTGTCCAACGTCTGTTTATTATTATATTATTGAGATTAGTCTTTACATTAAAAAATGTATGAATTGCATCAGTCAAGAAAATTTTCACATCTGTCCCTGCACAACTTGAGAAGAGGGTCCTGCCTGCGGCTCTTCCTCGTCTTCAGCAGTCGCAGTGGAATTCACAGGCCTAATGTAGTTGGTTGGCTTCATGTGGGTCAGCTGGTCATGGGCCATTTCAAGTCTGAAGGTGGTGTGGTTCGGGATGCCAAGTTCGGCCATCACATAGTGATTCTGCACCTCTTCTCCTCCGGCGAACATCCGGTAGTGACCCTTGGGCGCGCAGGTCGTGTTGATGAACCTGACCTTGAGGTCGTAAATGCTCGTCTGGGGGTCGCAGAAAAATGGTCCGACTCGCACTCCTCCCTTGTGACGACCACCAGTCTCAATGAACACCTGTCGGGGGAAAGTGTTCGGGTATCGAACGAGGGTCACCTCATCTTCCCTTTTCAGGTGGTAATACTTGATTGGCTGGTCCGGTTCCAAAACTCTGCCGTGGAAGAAGAGCATTCGCTTGAACTGAACCTCAGGCTCATTATTCTCGATGCAGTTGGGTCGAATTTGATTGTACATGGACGACACCCTCTTGTTGAAGTTAACTTCCATCACAAAATGCGTCTTGTCCGACTTGTCCCTGACGGAAACGTAGTCAAAAGAGTTAGGCACAGTCACTGAGATGCGCCACTTATCATTGTAGACTTGCACCTCCTGCATCATGTCCGTGTCCTGCAGAACATCCTTGCCACTCAGAAGAAGGATCTGCTTCTGCCACGGGATTCCTGTGGCCGACTCGATGTAAGTCTTCACCTTGCGGACGGAGTCGGTCGGTTCAAAGTCCACCTTGAAGCCTTTGTTTAGAAGCAGATTCGTCACCCAAATGCACCTCACAGAAAACCTATTTAGAAAAATTAATATTAACGTCTGGAAATTCAAAGGAAAAAAAAATACCTTTTATTCCTCCTTCTTCTGTGCTTGATGTTTTTTGGAAGATGCTTCTCGCAAACAGAATGGTCGATGGTTGAACGCATTTTGGTGATGATCGCCGTTGTCTTTTTTAATTTGAAATCGGCAAGGGCCATGAATCCCTCCCCGACCTTCCTCTTCTTCTTCCTGGGCATGATTTTTATCCGATTAAAGAAAAGGACTCCGAAAATTTGTGTCGATTCTCTGTTTACAAAGTTTTCTGTTCTGTCTGTTGACCATGCCACGCCCTCTTTTTAAAAAAAAATTACCGCGATATCCACGTTTAGCCTCCAGTGCTATAATAATCCTTCTTATTAATTCTTCAAAATTTTCAAACCTATTATTTGTCTTTTAAATGCTAGAAAATTTGCAATTTTGTATATTTAATGTTTTATTTGTACCCTTCAAATTTTTCTGTTTTAAAAAATATTTTGCTTGCAGGAAAGAAAATGCTGATCTGCAAGAAAAGATCTCACACCTGGAGGAGGCCATCGCGCGCCTGCAGGAGCAAAATACCCAGCTGGCCGAGCAATCAGTCGAGTTGCAACGAATCTGTGATGAAGAGAAACTCAAGGTCATTGATGACCACAGCAAGGAATATGTCCGATTCCACAACGATGCCTTGGCCAGGGCCAGACAAGAAGAAAAAGATAAATTGCACAAGGAAATGCAGAAACTCAGGTTGGAAAATTCAATAATTCTAATGAAGTAAATTGTAATATTTTTGCAATTAGGCTTCAATTGGAATTTGCCCTGGAGGACGCCGACAAAGCAAAGCAGGCGTATATCAATCTTGTCACAACCAAGAATGCTATTACTGATGAGATGGAAAGCCAGAGGAAGATCTTAGGCAAACTGCAAAACCAGGTTGGCTCCAGCAGCAGCTCGAAGCATGATTTGGGTGAAATGCATATTGCTGTGTACGAGGAGAGAGTGCGCAGAGAAATTGAGAATGGTGATTATTTTTATAATTCAAAACATTTTTTTAGTTAATAATTTAATTTTTTTAATGCAGCTAAAAAAGAGATGTTGGAGGAAATTGCTAAGGAGAAGGGCGTTCTGATGCAGGAAGCCAAACTTGAGGCCGAGAAGGAGCTACAGAGTAAAATTGACAAAGCGCTAGATGAAGCTAAATCACAGTGGAAGAAAACAGACAATTTGGAAATAAGACAAGAGGTATTAAAAATTTACAATTTTTTTTAGATTTTTTTTAAATCCTCAAATAATTCTAGTTGGAACTTGAAATCAACAAACTCAAGGCTCAGCTCGAGAAACAAGTCGAAGAGGCTAAATTGCAAAAGAAACAGCTCGAAGATCGGCTCTGGTCGCAGTTCCACGAAGAACTGATGCGAATGGACCAGTTTCAGTCAGACATGAAATTCAAACGCATGTCAGATCAGGTTGACGGAAAACGAAATGATAATGACACATCGATTCGCAAGACTCACTCACTGAACAACTTAGAAACGAGGATCGAATTGGAGGAGTGCGTGAAGCGGTTGAGCCTGGAGCTGGAAGAGTCTAAAAAGGTCCACTCGCAGCGGCTGATGGAACTGCAGGAGTTGCTGTTCACCAAGCAGAAAGAGATGGAAGAGTTCAAGCAGCGCATGCTGGAATACACCAAGAGTCTGCACGAGGGGCGAGAGAAGCAAAACGAACAGTATATAAGTGCACTGAAGCAGGAGATTGAGGGTCTGACAGAGGAGCTGGCCAAGAAGAGCAGCCACGGCGACCTTGAGAGGCTCAAGCAAGAGAAACGGAAGGTTGAGGCTGAGGCTGTCAAGATGAGAAGGGTGGCTGAAAAGTACAAGGAGCGCATTATGCAGGCCAAGGATTTCTACGAACGCAAGGAGAAAATCATCACGGAAGAGTTCAAACGCAAGGAGGACAAGTATTATGAGGTGCTGTTGAAACTCAAGTGTGAAGTCGACTCTTTCAACGTACTCGGAGACTTCACCTCTGCAGATGAAGCCGACCGCCCCGTCAAATTGTAAATTTGGATTGTTGTAGAAAGAGCTATTTTTGTAGATTAGGTGCCATGATGTATTTTTAGGGACCAATGTGTTTTAACTTTTAACTGAGGGACCATGACAGATGATGCTCATTTTATTCTTAAATAAGCAATAAATAAAAGCCTTGATGGATTTTAATCTTTTATAAAATAATGAAGTTTGATTTATCGTTATTAATAACAAATTTATTTTTATCATGAATACATGATAACTAGAATCAAAAGGAGTCAATTACTTCTTCTTAGAGCGTTTTCCTTCACCTTTCTTGGGCTTCACCTTGCCTCGGAGGATTCTCAAGCGGACCATTTCTTCTTTGAAGTCCTGGTGCTCATCTCTGAAGAGGCCGTAGTCTCTAAGCTTCATCATAAATTGCCACGTCTCAACGTGCCGTGGGTAGTAATTTGTGTACTCGGGATCTTTTTGCCTGGGCAGCTCTGACAGAAGGGAGATCACCTTTGAGTCCCTCGGGGCCATGGCTCGCACGGGCTCATTGAAAATTCGGTTTCGAAGCCTGGTCATCCGCTTGGCATAGCCGGTTGCAATGTTGGTCAGAGCCAAATATTTATTTATTTGACTCATTTCTCTGCAAATTTTAAATATCGTTCAAGCGTTTGCTAAATAGTATAAGATGTTGAATTAAAAAAATTAACACAATGTTAATAATGTTATTTTCCAATTATGACTAATGAGTGGAAATTTTCTTTGTCTTTCATGACTTTTGAGTACTTTATAAAATGACACTTACAGTATGAAACAAGATGATTTAGTTGGTGATCAGAATTTAAAGAAAACAAGGCCAAAAAGATGAAAATTAAACACGAAAACAGCGTTTTATCGGCATGTTTATAGAATTTTCGGAATTTTCATTTATGATGGCTGCAGGAAGGCACGCCCCTTTTTTCAAGCGTTGAGACTAGGAAGTTTACATAGGAGCTAGACTTCGACCATACTAATATTTTTTTTTTCTAATTGTACATAATGTAATTATGTATATAATAAGGAAATATATAAAATTTATCTTAATTATTAAATGATAAAGGATAATTTACGTAAATTTCAAATACATTTTCCTATAGAAATTTTAAAACATCGTAATCCTTTCTATAGGCCCCTTTTACTAACCTTCGATCGTGTTTTTGTCCAATTTTTGTCTGCTGTTGCTTGGTGCTTGAATCAAAAAACAAAAAAACTTTCTTTAACTTCATTAAACGGGTTGATTTTTAAGTGAGGCTTGCGAATAGACAACCCGAACTGTAAGGAACAAAATCAAGGCAAGGAGAGGAGCGGCGACTCTCGCCACTGTTGTGACTGTGGCGCTGGCTCTGTCCATAATATTATGGACAAATGGCCGCCGTCACGTGACTTATCAAGCCAATCATATTTCATGGACGAGCTCCGCCATAGCCAATCAGATTTGGGCAGTGGTGACGTCAGCGAGAGAGTACGTTTGTTTACATTTTTCCCATCAGCTGTGGGTGCAAGAAGGTTCCAAAATAATAATTAAAATAACCTTTATTATTATTTTGTCTGGTTTTGTTTTTGCCTAGCGCACTTCTGGATAATCCAGCGATATCTCAAAGCTTTCAAATCCAAATTTTCTTGAATTAAATCAAAATACCGGGTGTTTTTCCGCAACTAAAAGAGGCGTCGTGTGCGTTTTGGTAAAAACTTTTTGACCTGTCAATTCTTTTTGAGTTTTAACTGTATTGAGCGAGAAAATATGCCAAGTAGGGCAAAAGGTCAGAAATATTAAGTCTACAGTCTATAGAGGAAGATAATTATAAAGTTAAAGTACATTATAAGTATTTTTTTTTTTTTTTTGGTAATTTTTTTAATTTATATGCTACGTCACTCATCGTAGTCATCGCCTTGCAATTTTGCCAACGTCCTTATTAGCAGGAATTTTCGTTGCAAATCAACAAATATTTTAGAATAATTTCTAATAATTTATCGAAGACAAAATTTTGATTAATAAAATTCTTAATAATACAATGACAAAATGTTTTTACCCGCTAAATGTCATTATATAAAAATAATGAATTTTGGACTAAATTTTTTTTTCTTTTTACTATCCTCGCAAATATTTTTATTTAATTAATGCTTAAAATTGATAAAAAAGGTAAGTTCATATAAATAATTCTGGGCTTCTGTAATTTTTAAAAGTGATGCAAATAAAACTCATATATAAATAATTTTAATCATATAAAAATAAAGAAATTTTGGAAATTTTATACATAATTAAAATTAAGAAAGAAAGAGTGCATTTAAAAGCACTAGAGGCGTACGGAAAATTAAAAAAATAAAAGCAAGGAAATAGGAAATAAGAATTTTTACAAAAATTTAAGTTAATTATTATACGGCCAAACTTATTTTGCTGTAAATGATGTAGGAAAAATAATCCATCTCTTAATAAAATTAAGTTGCCAATTAATTTTTCATGACACTTGCTACAGAGTGAAATAAATTTTCAGTTATTTCTAAAATGAATCTGAATTCTGAAAATAGAATATAGCAAAAGCATGTAGTCGCGACCGCGACTCTTTTTCCCGCCGCATGTTTCGGAGGAGGAGTCAACTCCTCGTGCTCCGCTGCTTTTCGTAGACAGCTAAACAGCGAGAGTCGCCGCTCCTCTCCTTGAATCAAGGCTTCGGGATGGCGGTGAAGCAAGCAGGAGGATTGCCAACATCCGAGAAGAAAAAACCGATCGCAGTGATTTCGCCTCAGAAAAAAGAAAAATTGCCGAAAAGTAGTAAGACCGAAAGACTTTCGGCCAAAGACTCTCTCGCCCGAAAAATTGAATCTGCCAACCAGAATCGGTCCTTCTTTTATGTAATTGCTGTCGTCCTTATTGGTGAGCACCCTGTAAAAATTTGTGTCATGCATATTAATTGTTTTTTTTATTGATTTGTGTTTAAATTTCTATCTCTTTCTCTTGTAGCATTCGGCTTTGCCAGTCTGCACATGTACCATGTATCAACGATGTTTGAGAACGATCGACATTTTTCGCACCTGTCAAACTTGGAGAGAGAAATGACTTTCAGGACAGAGATGGTTTTCGAACAAAAGTTAAAAAATCTGATTAAATTAACATTTTAAAATTTTCCAGGGTCTTTACTATTTTTACTACAAAACAATAGTCGAGGCTCCAACCTTCAGTGATGGACTGGTTCTGATTCTGAACGACAACGTCACTGAATACCCCTCAGTAATCAACACTCTGAAAAGATTCAATCTCTACCCTGAGGTAATTTTGGAATTATGAATTAAAAAAAGTTTTCAATTAACTTTTGTTTTAAAAGATTGTGATTGGTGCTGCATATCGACTCTTTGCTGAAGTGACTGGCTGGCTGCAAATTCCAACAAAGCAATGCTGGCAGGTGGAGCGAGGCAGTGGCCTTCCCCCTATCCTCAGTTGTGAGGGCATAGGTGACCCCATGTACTTCTACCTTCAGGCCGTCTGGATCTGCGCTGGTCTCACGGCAGCCCTCATCTTTATCTTCGGCACATTCCTGAGCCGCAGCGCCCTGGGTGGACTTATCGCCATCCTTTGTTTCTTCTTTAACCACGGAGAAGTAATTTTTTAAGTAAAATTGTTTGAAAATACTAAAGAGACGATTCAGAGCACCAGAGTGCAGTGGACGCCACCTTTGAGGGAGAGCTTTGCGTACCCATTTTTGCTGGCACAAATGCTCAGTATATGTGTGTTGCTCAGAGACGCCAGGACTTGTTGGAAAGAGGCAATGTCGAATTAATCTCATAAATATCAAAATCATTTTTAATTTTACTTTCCAGGGATTGCTTTTTGCCACAATGACCGTCTGCAGTTTGGTCACCTGGCAGTTCTCGCAGTTTGTTTTGGCCACCCAAGTTGTTGCGGTATTAATTCTCTTTGCTGCTGGCATTGTCAGAAAACATATTCTCCTTCTCATCCTTCTTCTTTTGGCCGTAAGTATTTGAGCCTAAACAAATTCAAATAATTAAGTTAGTTGTGTTTTAGGCTGCTGTGCACCATAGTCTGCTTCTTCTGGTTGGCAATGAGCTCCTGGCCTCGTCTTTCTTGGTCAGCCTTTTAGCTGCATCACTTCTGGCTGTTCTATTGTTGGAACCGGCCATTCGACGCATGCCCCTCTTCATCCGTGGTGCTCTCACCCTTGTGGTTTGCTCTCTACTCGCCGTCTTCCTTCGATCTCGATTGTCGGCTCTCTTCAGTTCCAACGACGATGTAAGCGAATGGAAATTTATTAAATAACCTAACTAATTTAAAAATCACAGGCCCACATCCTCAACCTCCTGAGGGCCAAACTGGGCAGCTACAAAGACTTTCACACCCTGCTGTACACATGTTCTCCTGAGTTTGACTTTTTGCCTCTGGAGTATTTCAAGAAAATCAGCGAAACTTTGCTAATGCCCACGGTTTCCGTCGTTCTGTTGGCCGTGGTTGTCCAATGCATAACTTCTGTCTACCAACTTTATTATCTTAATCGCCTACAAGGAAGTGACCGGAAGTCTGACGAAAAAACCAAGGTTTGCAATGCTATACTTGAATTTTTCTAAATTTAATATTTTTCAAATGCAGGATCAAAATAATTCAAGAATCAGCCAGGAAAATATTCAACTGTTTGACACTGAGGTCCTTTATTTTTTTATCCAAACGATTGCGTTTGCCGTGATGGCCTTGATGGTGATGCGGCTGAAACTCTTTCTTACGCCGAATCTCTGCATCTTGGCTTCATTGCTGGCATCAAGAAAAGTATGAATTTTATCTGATAATAAAAAGTCCTACAAATTATTTCTTCATTTTACAAAATTTTCAGTTCTTTCAAGTGATAAAATCTCAGACTGTCCACTGGGCCATTGTTGCTGTTGTTTTGAGCGGAATGTGCGTCCGAGGTTTCCAAAATATCAGTCACCAGCGCAGTATCATGGGAGAATACAGTAATGTGGCTCTTGAACAACTTCTTGAGTGGGTTGAGGCGGAAACCCCTAAGGATGCAGTTTTTGCTGGACCAATGCCCGTAATGGCCAATTTGCTTCTCTCGACGAGACGGCCCATCGTCAACCACCCTCACTACGAAGACGCTGGACTGAGGTAGGAATTTTGCAAATTCCTTCTTGTGAATATAATTAATTAATTTAAAATTATAGGGAAAGAACAAAAAATGTGTACACCATCTTCAGCCGGAGGACTCCGCAGGAGGTTTACAAGATTCTCTCGCACATGAGGGTGCAGTTTGTGGTGCTCGAAGAAAGCTGGTGCTTCAGAGAAAGCAGGTAAAAAAAAATATTCACATAAAACTGTTCCATTTTAATCCGAATTCCAAAAATTTAGGCCCGGCTGTGCCATGGTGGATTTGTGGGACGTGGAGGAGCCGGAAAACCGACATCAGCCACCTCTGTGTCCGCGCCTCTTCCTGCAGAGTTCCATTCCCTTTGAAAAGGTTTATTCAAATAGTGAGTATGTGGTCCTGTGGTTGCACTCGCAGTACGTTGAGCTCTCTCCGATGAAGGAGTACAAACTCTGAGCCATTCAATGTCAGCATATCGAAGACATGCATTTTCCATTATTGCATTTTGACTTATTCCCATGACTAGTCTGTGAATAATTTAACAAGTTAAATTTTATTTTGAAAATTTTAATGTTCCTTGTTTAAGTCCAACTATTTATTTTTCATTAATTTTTGGATGAAATTTAAGCATCAAAATAAAAAGCGCAATTTGCACACACAAAAAAATAGAATTATTGTCATTGCAAGTTAATCCTATCAATAATTCTTACGATAGGTCAATTTTCACTGATAAAATTTTGTCAAGAATAAGAAAAACTTTGGTCAAAAAAAGTCCACAGAAATTTAAAATCATTAACTTGAGGGTTTTTAAACCACCTCATTGATGATTTTGATTAGTAAAAATTCCATGCAGTTACCAGGGTGTTTTTTTAACACAGTCTTGAAAATTTATTTGATTTGAAATTTTTTTAAACCAACAATGAATCCTAATTTACCAAATAAAAAGGCAAGTTTTACAAGCAGCATCGTCTTTATTGAACAAAAGTTACAGTTCTTAAGAGATCTCATACACTTTTATACTTGACTGTGCCATAACAAGAGGATCAGAAACGCAAAAAGAGCTGAAGATTTCAATTTCAATAATAGAAATGCAAAGTTGCACCCAAAGTCCAAACTCTGCTATGGTAGCACCATCGTCATAAATATTACAACTTTCCATTAACATTCAATACGAGTTTTTTCCTTACGATTAGTAGTTTTTTTTTTGTCCGCTTCAAAGTTTCCACAATTCTTTTTGGAAAGCATTTTTGCCTCACAATCAGAGTTTCATTACAATTTAAATCTGAATTTTTTTCAAATCGATAACAGTTTTTAAGTGTCCTGAACAGTTCTGCTTCTTCCTTAAAATCTACATGACCAAAGCCGAGTAATTAAATATCAATCAATCGAAACCAGCAATCAATTTCTTTATCCGATCTTGCCAAATTGTTAACGCTTTATCATAATAAAATCACTTTTTAGTCAATCACAATTCATTTCCAATTCCAATCACATAAATCAGCTATGAAGTGTTTCTTTCTGAGACACTTTTGCTCCATCACTTATTTTGATTAATTCTTTTTCACGCGTATATTTTTCGTTTAAAATTTTCAATTTCGAGTTTTAAGTGGTGCGCGCTGACCGAAAATTTTCCATCGCGATCCGCGCCTCTGCAGTCCGGTGTGAGCCAAGTTCTGTGGAATACAAAAATTAAGGCCCCTGCTTTGACCAAACTTAGCCCAGACCGGAGAGTCTCGCACGGCACCGCTGCAAAAAACGCACACGCCACTCACATAATCACAGATGAAGCCAATCAAATTTAATTTAATTAAGGCGTAAATATAAATCTATAAAAAAAACTACATCAACGTTCACCTTCTCATGATTCACTTTCCGTTATCAACCCTCTGAAAAGTTGGCGCAACAATTGCAAAATTATATAAAGTACAAAATTTGTCTATTGCTTTGTGTTTTCAGTAGTTTTTTTGACGTATTTGGTTTGTACCTGCGAGAGTGGTAATTAATTATTTAATAAATCTGCGAGATTTTGTACTCTACTGGAGGAGGTAATAATGGTCGGCGCTATTGTTTTACACTGTGCTTGCTTGAAAAATGTCGTCCAAAAACAAAATTTTTATTTCTTCCGTATGTCGAGAGAATAATGCAATTTTTGAGGTTTCTCGTGAGACTTTTTCCATTAACACGAAACATCAAGCGTCTATACTTTTGACTCGTGGTATACATTTACGTAGGCTCTCCTCTTGCTTCACAATTAATTAAATATACGCACAATAATCTCGTTATACTTAAGAAGTAATATATGCATCTTTGAGGTATGTCAAAACGTAATTGGACAAAGGGGCGTGGAGCGGCGGAATGGTTGTCAAATATTTTCCCACTAATTAAAAAGAAAAATTAAATTATTCTTCTCAAACTTCTTTTACATTAGCTGACGAAAAAGTTCATTTCATTGTAATTTAATTAATGTTTGGTTTCTCCGCGTCACACCCAAACTCTGTCTTTCATATTTGAATTAAAATTTGACAAACAGTCCATTTTCTTGAGGTATATTTCGGGTAAAAACTGATAGCAGATGTCTTCATACAGGATTGTTTGAATTATTTAAAAATGCCCTTCTGTTTGTACTGCGTCATTTTAAATTGTTGGTTTCATAGAGTGGAATTATTTCGGGTGAGCTCGTTGGTAAAAAATACATTTTTTGCTCAAACGCAGCCCAGCGTACGGAATTAAACTTCCACTAAAATTGGAAGAAAATCGCAAATGCTGTCGCGTTGACGGATTGGTTTTTATACTGGTTTTGCGGTTTGGTTAACTTTTGACGATCTCGTTAGGTCCGATGGAGCCTTGCGATTTGTAAAAAATATCGTATTTGCTCCCTATATTTTGGAGCCCAATCCAAGGCCCCGCGCGCAAGATTCCAAAGGGCCCAACGAGCTTAGATTATTTAATTGTTCGCATATAAAAATGCTTACACTGTAAAAAAAGAGCTTAAAAGGTATAATGCGCTGCAGGTACAGATATCGCTGGGTTTCTATGGGAAGACTGTCTATTTCTACCGCTTAAAAAATAGCACATGTCGTATATTTCGTGTGAATGTTTTGCTAAATCCCTGCGCTGGAGTAGAAATCTGCTTGTGAGTGTTTGTGTGTTATTTATGTATTGTTTGTCTGAGAGTTTTTATTTTACTTTATATATATGGGAGTTACAAAATTAACTTTGCCACTTAAATCTAGAGGGGTACAGTCGTCGTCGCTAGTTAAAATATGCACTGGCTTTAAAAATTATTTGATTCTAAAATGAGTATTTTGAATTTGAAATTATTTATTTGTTTGACAATTTTAAAGACGTTTTGCCAGTTGAAATTTGTAATTAGCGAGTAAAGAATTAATTGTATCATGAGATGTGTGTGTGTGTCAATGTTGTTTTAATTGGTATGGTTTTTTGTACCGTGTTTTACATCGCAGGGGATGTTGTATTAACTTCAATAACCCTGAGTTTCATTGTTTATACATTGTATAAGGATGAAAGAGTTGAACTTTGTTAGAGATATTATCTTTTGTCTGTGTGTTCTTCTTGAGATATATAATAATTTTTCAAACGCGTACCTTTCGTCGCTATATATTTTATACAAAACATTAAATGTCTCGAAAGAGTGTGTGGAAATTTAATTTACTTTTCGTTAAAGTGGGTGTGTAAGAAGAAGTGTCGATCGTGAATTTCGTGTCAGTGTGTTTTTCAAACGCAGTTATTTTTTTCGTTATATATCCGTTCAACGTTGTTAAGTATACAAAAAAGCCATGTAATAATATATCGCTACAACGGTTGAGGTATTTACGGTTCGTTTTGCCAAGTCTATAAGACATAGTATACGCCAAAAGGGTGAGTCGTGTTTGTTGCTAAACATCTTGCTAGAAAGCAACACGTACATTGCGCTCGCTTTGAAATCGTTTAATCAATCAATTTAAATTGAACAAAATTTATTTAAATACAAACTTAAACATTTTTTTTAAACTCATTTAAATTTCAAACTTCGAGCTCTTCTTCTCTTTGCAATTGTAAGTTGCTATGTGGATAAAACGATTGAAGCGAGCGCAATTTTTGAAAGAATGGACAACTTCGGGATATATTTTTAATCTTCGATCGCCAATGTCTCTATAGTTCATCGAAAGTTTAAGTTGTCCACGAGAGCGCAATTTCTATATTTTACACCTTTTGTCAACACCAAACATTTGGGCGTGGGAATAAAATATTTTTTTCTCTTTCCAAAAGTGAGTGAGGGGTGTTTTAAACTTTTGCTTTTCTAAATATCGAGCAACTTTTCCGACAAAGTGAGAGTTTTTAGGAGAGTGAGAGGGAAAGAGATATATTTTATTTTTTAGATCGTAATAGATCGAGAGATAGAGGGAGATCGAGTATACTTATTTTGCGTTGGTTTCTCAGTTTTATATGGCAGGACGTTTTCGTTTCTGCGCGCCGCGCGTCGCCCACAGCTAAATCAGCGAGTTGGCCGTGCGCTTCGAGCGTTTCTTCAGTTTGTCCTCGTTGTTGAGCTTGACTCGGATCGCCTCGCGGACCGTGCTGGCAGGAACGTCAAACTTCTCCATCACAGTGGCTAAAATTAAGCACAAAAAGGTTTTTTTTAACTCCTAACTCAGCAAATTTTAGATGAGAAATTCAGCCAATCCTATAAAGTTTCAAAATATTCCAACTTTTTTAACAAATTAATTGATTTAAAAAAAAAATTTTTTTTGGATCTGAATCAATTTGATAGTTGATAGTTTTCCTAAGTGAAGAAGAATTACCAAATAAAAAAAATTCTTGTTAATATGTTAATTTTTTCCCCTTGCTGTTTGTTTCAATGGAAAAAATGTAACTAGTTGGGTGTTGCATGAGAGATAATTACAATTTTTCTTAATAAATTATAAGATTAATAACGATATTATTTCCCATTATTTACTAAAAAATAGTATTTAATGTTGTCAGAAATTTTCAATAAGATTATTTATTACTTTCTCTTTTTATCTAGTTAGATCCAAATTAAAAAGCAACCGTGACAATCTTAATCCAAATAATTTGCATCTTAATTTTTTTCCCTTGATTTACCTATCACTCTGGTGACTTTTTCCGTGTCAAGCCTGGGCTTAGCACTGCCCTTGCTACCATTGAGACAGTGCGTGGCGAGCACTTCGCGGCCAAAGACGGCGACCAACAGCATGTTGGTGTACTTTTTGAAGTCCCTACACATGAGCATCTTCAGTTGCAAGTCCGGCGACAGCGGCAGGTTTAACGCCGGCGCTGTCATTTGCGGAGGAGCAGGCGCTGCCACCACCGGCTTAAATTAAAAAAATTAATAAAAACATTTTATCAAAGAAGAAACAAACAAACAAACTCACCGGTGGCTGGTGGTGGTTCAGTCCTTCGTCTCGATGGTGGTGGTGGTGATGGTGACCGTTCATTTCGTGACCACCATTCGTCATACTGGGATAAGTTGAGCAATCCATTGGGCCGGCATTCATCAGTCCTTGTTATTAAAAAAAAAAATTAAATACGTTTTAATAGCAATAATTTTAAGATGTACCTGCTTCCGCGTGTCGCAGCCTTTCCATGGCCCTGAGTCTTTCGGCCTCGAGTTTCCGTTGGACTTGCAGCCGGAGGCTCATTTCCATCGAAAGGCGTTGCTCTTCGGCCACCTTAAACTCCAAGGCGGCGCCAATCGGTGGCTTGGAGGGTCGCGAGGGCACGCACCGTGCTGTTGTGATGTGAGTTTCGCCGATCACCAGGACGTCGCCCGGCATCATCGCGTCTTCCATTTGACTAACTCGCGTTGCTGAATTTTAGGAATTCGATCATAAATATTAAATTTTCACTTATTTATCAGTTTCATGAGAGAAAATTTTTCAAAATATTATTATTATTATTAAAAACAATTTCATCCCTATATCAACCCCTTAATCTTAGTTCGAAATAATCTGGCAACGTTTTGACTGGCCTAATCTAATGCTTTCGTAATGTGAAAGAGTGACTAGGCAATTTGCCGTTCACGGATGTCGCGCCAGTTGCCTACTTTACATATTCATCCCTCTATATCCCATATTTATGGCTCAATCTCGCGTCTAATTTGTCTTTCTTAAGGGTGATTTATTTATACGGAGGCTCAGGCCAAACAAACGGTTTATTGTCGATTGATTCGAACGTACCAATGTCGACAGGTCGGTGGGAGCTGCTTGGCAGTGCCATTACCCTGCTCTGTGTTTGGCCTCCTCCCCCTCCCTCGTCTGTGATGGTGCCGCCAAATTCGGCTGCCTCTGTTCAAGCAAAAGTTTTGTTTCCATATATTGGCTAAAAGTACTATTTTTTTTTTAAATACTGATTATAAATTATTTTTTTTGCTAATAAAAAAAAACTTACTCCTTTGCTCATGTTGGAGGAGCTGCTGCTGCATGCGGTGTTGGTTGTTGAGGGTCTCGATGACGCTGGCCACCTGCATCTCGCGGTTCTGCGCCTCAAAATCTCCGTTTTCCTCGTCGTCCTCATCGCAAAAATCGTTGTCGTCTTCGTCATCGTCCTCCTCGGACTCGCCCATTAATTCTCTCTCCTGTTTCTTCTCCTTCGACCACGCACTGGGCGCGGGCTGGCCTTCGTGCTGGCCGTTCGAGGGGCAGGGCCGTTTGGCCTCTGTCGGATAATTTTCGTCTTTGATCTCCATTTTCGTTTCTGTTCTCCGCGCTTCTTTGGTGATCTCAGCAAGGCCTCGAATTTCCAGCATTTCGGCCGTCTTGATGAGCTGCGGAATCTGGTCCTCAGACACCAGCACCTGCAATTTAATATGTTTTTAAAATTTATTTTGGTTAAAATTTAATTCAGTACCTGTCCATTGTACATGAAAGAGACAAGGGCAGTCAACTCGGCCAGCGCCACGTCTTTCAAAATGATAATCGGGTGTGCGCACGGGTTTTCCTACAACGAACCCCGCGTTTGATTAATTTTTTATTTGTGTAATTTTTCCGAACGCGTACTTTTAGCAGTTTTCTTATGTACTGGCTGCACGCGGAAAGGACGACTTTGTGCGCTTTGAGGCTGTGGCCCTCGCAGGCGATGGTCACGTCCACAAAGTCTTCGTCGCCGCGCAGAGTTTCCAGCGACGTCACAATGTTGTCGGAAAAGTTGTTCCATTTCAAGTAGTACTGCTTCTCGCCGGTCGCACTCATTTTCACTCTCAGCCGAATGCGCCAAATTAATTTTCTTCGCTCCCCTTGCCTAAAAAGAATTTGTCCTATAAAAAGAAAGAAAAAATGATTAGCATTTCTTTTAAACAACAATAATTTCTCTTTTTTGCTAATCCAAAATTTTTCTGCACTTTTGATGCTGCTTGATTGAACATTTTGAAATAAAGCCCTGCCGAGAATTACTGATTATTATCATGACTGAAAGAATGGACAGTGAAACTCCACATATTCAGAACTTGGGAAGGAATATTTATGTATTTTTCATAGCGTAACGAAATAGCTTAACTAATGATATTACCGTAATAATGAAAATATAATTATAAAGCCTCGATAGGCGTGTCGGAAAAACCGTACAATTTATCACAAATATATTGTTATCAGCAGACTTGATATTTAAACTTTTTCTACATTTTTTTATTATTATAAAAAAAAATTAGTTAGAATTGAGAAAGGAAGGTTTGAAACTAGCAAAAACCATTAAAAATTCAAATTACTATGAAAATTTTAAATTTCAAAAATAATTGGTAAACCATAAAAATATTATAATAAAATTAAATGTAAACTAACCCTATCAATAATAACTTTAATATTTTTTATTTACAGTTATTAATAATTAAAATAACAAACGCATGTCATCACAAGTCGCGCTTCTATACTGCATGTAACACTGCGACATGTTCCTAATTGCGTAATAAAGCGGCAGCATTTTGTGGAAATTAGGCCACGGCGTCCTCCGCACTCACGCTATGCACCGACCCGGCACGCAGTTGGGTCTACTTTCGGCCGGCCCAACCGACAATAAATCGTCGCCATATTAATTAGGACCGGCGCATGCAGGAGGCACCGAACGACGGAAGAGCCCTGCTAAACATCTAAAAATAGTTTATGAATTTTTAATCGATTCCGGCGAAGAGAGAGCAAACGAAGCCGCCCACCCCCGCGCGGCGCCCGACACAGTGAAATAATTAGGCGCCCCGTCACTTTCAGTAGAAATCGATACGCTTAATTTCGAATCGCCCGAGGGCCGCGGTCCGGGGCCCTCGGGGTCCCTCCCGAGCACCTGCCACGCCAAAATGGCTCCACGACGACGAGGGGGTGGCGGATTCATAACAGGCCGTCGCTAATCAGAGACGCGGGTCGTGTCGCCGGCACATATTTTTTGTCTGACGTGTGGCGGCGGCGCCGAAGTAAGAATAAGTGGCGCGGCGCCGCGGGCGCCGCGAGCCTCGCTCACCTGACGGACCCCTCCCTGCTGCGCGACGGCGCCGGCCTCCTTTGTTTCTTCCACCCCCACGGAGAAGTACTTGGTTCTTTTTGGCCTCCTTCAGTCATAATATCACTTTTACTGCGGCGCGCTGACCTCTGCTCTGCTCCACTCGGTTGACGTCGCCGCGGGGCGAAGAGGGAAGTCGCCCCGCGCAACCAGCCAACCCCACCTGCCGGGGGTGCCGTTCGCCGAAAACCACCCTGCACCGCGCACAGATGGCACCCCTGCTTCTGGTGCTCATCGATGGGGTGAGAAAAAGCGGCACATCTGCAAATTTTAGAGTCAGTAGAAATGATTTGCACGTGATTTGCACACTTTTAAAATGTATAAATATTCAAGAGCATTGTTAAAATAAAATGAAATGTATTATAAAAAATTTATTTAATATTATATTTCATTTTTAATCTTACATAATAGAATATTTAATAATAAAATCAAAAATAGTTTACACGTGATTTTTACACTTTTAAAATTTATTACATATTTAATAAAATTTTCTTTTAAATAATTCAAATTAATTTTCAATCAAAGCATTGTTAAAATGAAATATATTATCAAAAATTAAAAATTTATTATTTTCAATCTCACAATCTGAAATTTATTTTGTAAAATCAATTTTGGTGCAAAGATTGCAGATTTATTTCGTCACAAATTAGGATTTAGATATTTATCAAACGAATATTAGACTTAAATATGTTCAGTGAATTATATACAGATATGGAAATTGTTTATTATTTAATCAAAATCAATCATCCTTTTTTGAATTTAACAATTAAAAACATAAAATAAAGAATTAAATTTTATTGGATAAGCAAATATGCTTACAGATAGTGTATGTATGTTACCTAATATTTTTATTTTTTTTTGCAGTTATTGAAAAAGAATAAAATTTTAATATTTTTTTTTTTTTGTGATTCTTAACCGAGTCAAAACTGTTAAAAAGACTTGACAATATTAATTTTTTTTGTGCCTCTCTGATTTTTGTGGTAAAATAAATAAATGGAAACAAATTTGTTTGAAAACATTAGAGTCATACTGAAGAAAGTAACATAATTACTAATTATTTTTGAAAATTTCTTAATAAAATAATAATAAATAAATTAAATAAAATTATGATGTTGTAGAGACAAAAATGCTTCGAGATGTTTCAAATATTTTTTTTTTTAATGCGATGACGGTGGTCTCTGGAATGTTCTCGCTGTTATTTAGATGTACAAACAAAATAGGCTAATCTGACCACACATAATATGTATTAAAATTAGAGCCTCGTCTCTCTCTCATTCAGTCGTGCATTGCAAACGGTTTATTGCCCTCTCGCTGGTGTGTATGTGTCGGTGGCAGGCGCGGAATATCCGACTAAAAAGCAGCTTGGGATAGGAATAGCCGCGCTGGCTGTACAAAAAGAGTGAAATCTCGAGTCGAGGCGCGCTTGGCTTTTTGCTCGCGCGTTGGCCGCGTCGGCGACGGTGACCGCAGCAGCTCACGCTTCGCTCGGACAGGTGGCTCTATCGGAATTCCACGCAGAGACACCCAATGGACCCAAATAGATGATCGGGATTATTGAACAAATTCATGAAAAAAAAAACGACAAAAGGGCTGCGGTGAATAAAAATAACGAACTGCCGAGTTGAGAGACTTGAAAATTATGAAAATGTCTGAAGATATAGAGTTGTAGAAAAATGTTTTATATATATTATAATTTAAAAAATAATATTAAAATTAAATAAGTCAATCTCTTATAATGAATCTATTATTTGATTATTTTTATTTTATTTTTGCTTCATATTTTAAAATTATATATATTTCAATTTATTTATTTATTTGATTAAATTATATTTTTCAGGTTTTTTTTTTAAATATGATCTATATTTTTATCAATCATTTTAAAAATAACTAAATATCTAATAAATATATTCCAAGCTTTGTAAACCAATATTCATCCGTTAATAAATTAATTTCTATTCATGACTTCTTTACCATCTGTATTTTCACATGTTAAACAAATTAAATTGGATTTATTAATTTAAAACTATTTTTATATTCACTACAAATAAATGAAATAACCTTAAATTTGATAGACGCACTTTGATTAAAAAAAAGCTCTAATTAGAAGTTGTCAGTATTTTTACAAATCGTTCAGGTTTGAAATCTTTTATACGTCTTGTTAAGGGCTAAAAGTGTAAAACACATAAGGGGTCTATTTAAACCTAAAATTTGATAGACGCACTATTATTTGAAAAAAAGGCTTTCTTCTTAAGCTCTCGGTATTTTTACTAATCACTCAGGTTCGAAATATTTTACTCGTCTTATTAAGGGCTAAAAGTGTAAAACACATAAGGGGTCTATTTAAACCTAAAATTTGATAGACGCACTTTGATTTGAAAAAAAGGCTCTATTCTTAAGACGTCGAAATTTTTCTTATCGCTCAGGTTTGAAATATTTTACTCGTCTAATTAAGGGCTAAAAGTGTAAAACACATAAGGGGTCTATTTAGACCTAAAATTTGATAGACGCACTTTGATTTGAAAAAAAGGCTCTATTCTTAAGCTGTCGGTATTTTTACTTATCGCTCAGGTTTGAAATATTTTACTCGTCTTATTAAGGGCTAAAAGTGTAAAACACATAAGGGGTCTATTTAGACCTAAAATTTGATAGACACACTTTGATTTGAAAATATGGCTCTATTCTTAAGCTGTCGATATTTTTCCTTATCACTCAGGTTTGAAATATTTTACTAGTCTTATTAAGGGCTAAATGTGTAAAACACATAAGGGGTCTATTTAAACCTAAAATTTGATAGACGCGCTTTGATTTGAAAATAAGGCTCTATTCTTAAGCTGTCAGTATTTTTACTAATCACTCAGGTTTGAATTATTTTACTCGTCTTGTTTAGGGCTAAAATGTGTAGAAACTTTTTAAAACGACCATTCTGCTGTCATTATGAAAAAGGCTTGAAAAATCATATTCTTTGATGGCGTTCTAATTATTAGTCTTAGGCCATTCATCACTTTTGGCAGACGCAGTCAAGTGCCTTGTAATTATCACCACGCGAGATTGAGAAAAAAAATACAATATATATTGATTGAGCCGCGAAGCGTCTAGAAAGTCTAGACTTGTGCTCAAATCAAGAGCGCGGCGAGTTATAATGTTGATTCTGAGCGGCGGGAGGTCGGAATTTTAATCGGCACACTCGTTCATCCTCTCGTTGCTTGTTATAATAACTCCTTCGCTGCGTGTTTCCCAGAGGTTCGCAAATGAGCAGAGCCGCGATTTGGATCGCGAACCATTTGCATGTGCGATCAGTGGCCCAGGTGCGTCAGTCTCTGTTTGTTAGGCGAAAAACTGGAATATTTTTCCATTTTGCTACACAAAGTTCTCAAATATATGATGGAGAAAAAATTATCCTAAAATTGTTATGAATATTTTATGAAATGCGTGAAAATGGTCAGCTAGGTTGTAGTCGATTCTCAATTTAATTCAAATGTATTTATTTATGAGGAAAATTTCAAATAGAGATTTACAATGTAATGTTAAGAATATAGCCAAGTGATTTGTTAATTTTGAAGAAAACAAAAACATTGATTCCTGGGCTTTGAATACCGATTTGAGTGAAAAAAAGGAAACTGCTACTCCAAAAATTCATTTGTGAATGATTTTTTGATAGAATTTTTTGTATTTCCGCATCTTATAATTTACAAAGTACATTAGATGGATGAGGAGGCAGCACTAAATCTGCTTTATTGCCATTTGTATATTTTTTAACTTATTTATTCTCCTTTCAAATGAAACAAATTTATAATATAATTAACATCTAATTTTGGAAATTTTGAACACATTTTAAATTGCTATGGGAAAATAATGTGTATAATGTAACCCTAACCTCGTTCAAAAATGTAAACGCATTGAACTAAAATATCAGAAGTGACCAACAGGAAGCATAGAGCAATTTTATATTTATAATTGGTTCAACATAATAATGAGACACTGCTTCATATACAATTTTGAATTGAAATTTTAAATGTTAGTAATACAAGTTTCTACTTTTGTGAAATATTTATTGCATAAAAGAAGTATATGGCATTTAAAATGTATATTATATAAAAATATAAAAAAAAAATAACTATAAAAATAAGATAATTAAATTTTTTATTGCAAATGTCAACAAATAAAAGCATTTTACAATTTTTTAATATATTATTTAGTTTCTTAACAAGCACAAAATTTAATCATTTTGTTTGGCTTGCGCGAGACGTAAGTGTCTCCTTAACTCCTCTCGGGGCCGCCTTTTGTTTTGACTGGTCTCGTTGTTCACCAGTCAATGGCCACTGAAACACTCGGATCACATTTCGCATTCATTGATGCAGCCGGCCGGCCGGCCGGTCTGTGTGTTTGTTTGTGTCGTGTTGGCCCGGCGGCGCAAATGACGTAAATGCGCCACTTTCGTTAATGCACTGACCTAGCAGATTAGATTTCGCAGTGAAATATCATTGGCGCGTCTCTTTCTCTCGGCGCGCAGATTTCTATTTTGCCCGCTTGATTAAAATTGCAAAAACGACTCGCGCTGCTTTGAATTGGCCGCGCGCGATTGCTTTCCTCGTCGGGCCGCGACCGCCAGGCCAGAGGAATGTGGCGTGATATCGTCGGCGGACCAGATTAGAAGATCATTAAATATTATTAGACAGGCGGAAAAATGGCGCAGCGCGGTCGCCGATCATAGACACACAATTTACATCCACCTGTGACGACCACCGCGACCAGGTCAACGACACGTACCCGCTCCCGAGAAGGGGCAGAGACGATTTCATGCTGCATTATTTAATGTATATCCTCATTTATTATGTCTTACACCATCTCGTTCAGCGGCGGCATGTCCTGAATGCACAGCCATAATCATTGGTTATTGCACAATCTGAAAATTGTTTTATTCAAATTATTTGAATGATCATTAAAATAATCAAGAAGAAATTGTTTTCAAAAAAAAAACAAAAAAAAAAAAAATATTTAAACGAGTGTTTTGATGTATAAAAAAAAAATCGTTTCAGTTAAATTGTTAACCTCAGTTTTTCGGGAATTTCAATTTTTTTTTTAAAAAATATCTTGACAAGTACATTTTACTGCATTTTACTTGATGATCGTTTTCTCTAGTGCCCGCAGATTTCCGTTTAAGAAAT